ATATGATAAGATTGATAACTAAGTTGAGCACGAAGCTCCTATCTAATGGCAGACGTGCCAGTCTTATATAGAACCTTCGTGTTCCTGAAGTCGACCTGCATATATCACGTGACTTGTATACAAAGAAATTCCTGGATCGCTTAACTAACCTAAGCGATCCCTTTTTGCTATAAGAGCCATGATGTGTTTGTCCTGTCAGAACCCCGTCTGGACTAACTCCTCACGTGCTAGCACGTGATTTGTGACAGATAAATCCGGAATTTTATTAACTTTAGCTATACCTAAAATAATTAGTACTATTACTATAATAAAGTATAATAGATTACGAACTATAGACCTCCTAAATAGAGTTAAATCTTTACTTAATAATAAACCTACTATTACTTAAAGCTAGTAGTTAGAAACTAACTAGAATTAGCTTTCTCTTTTGTTTCTTCTTATACGAGCTCTTTCCTATAAATCGTATTATCTACTTATTATAGAACAAATTCTCTAAAAGTATAAGAACTTAATAAGATACCTTATAGAAGTGTTTAAGAAGAGGGGATAATTTAAGGTACTATTTAGCCTTCTTATCCGCCTTATAAATAGGATCCTAGGTCTAGTTAGAGACCTTAAAAAAGCGCTTAATTTATATAAACCGAAAGTTATTTATTATATTAGTTTATATTAAATTAGATAATACTAGAGGTCCTTAATTCTTTAAGTTCCTTCTAAACTATAGTAGATTAATATTACTAGAAATATCTTAATATCGTTTATAGTATAGGGCTCCTATAGTTTGCGGATTATCGCTAATAGTATATAAAATATACCATATATTAGCGTATAAGTTATTATTATTATTATTATTATTATTCCTTTTAACGTGCTGTGTGAGTCTCAGACTATAGTAGCACGGCTGGGGGTTTCCCTCCAACAGATGAGTAAAGCTGTACTAAATACATGTTTGAGAAGGGGGTTATGGTGAATACAGTTCTTGGGTTGTTGGAAGCAGCTAGGCTTCTGGTTATGACAGAAGAAAAGTTGTTATGCTGTAGTAGGCCCCCGCGTTTCACGCCCTGTACACTACACTTCCTCGTTCTCGTCTTCCTCGTCCTCGTCTTCCTCGTCCTCGTCTTCCTCATCCTCATCTTCGTTCTCATCCTCAGTTGCGCGTTGTGTGTGCCATATTCTAGTGGCGATTTTGGTGGTTCGAATAAAGTCAAGTGTGGCCTCGACTCCTTTGGCGGTGTGAAGGAGGGATTTCATGGTGAACTCTCGAATATGATGCTTGAGGAGGTTGCGCTTTAGTACTTTCCTAGCATCCCCAGTTTCTGGACAGCTAAGAAGGAGGTGAGTGGGAGTCTCTTGTCTTCCACATCTACAGCGGTTGTTGGTAGTGTGGCCGAGCTTGTGTAGGTATGATTTGAAGTATCCATGGCCTAGCTTAAGCTGATAAAAGGCGCTGGCTATCTCTCTTTTTGTTCCTTGGGGGACGCAAGGTTTCGACAGAATCTTCCATGGGAATTCCCTTCGATACGAGTGTTGGTTAGTTGATGGTTCTGTGTGCCGGGGGGGTGTAGTAAGCTTTTGACGCCATTCTTTGTTCTGGGTCTGCCTGATCTTGACTCCTAGCATAGCAAAGCTAGTGAGTTGAGTGGATGGTTGGATTGTGGTGGCGGCTTTTGCAAGCTTGTCTGCTTTCTCATTTCCTGGAATGTCGGTGTGACCTGGTACCCAGTGAATTGTGGTAGTAGCTCCCTTGCTAACTGCCTTCCGGGCAGCTGTGATAGCTCTGATTTGGCACTCTTGCCCTGGGTTATCTGATGTGGTTTTTAGCTCCGTATTTTACTCGGCCCGGTATATACTAGCTATATATGTTCTCGGCGAACCTCCGATAACCTCTATACTATCTAGGGGATAATATAATAATCGCCGGCTTAAAATCTACGATTATTAATATTATATCGCGTTTTTATACCTAAAATTAGTATATTTTAGGGTAGTTTTAAAAGGGATTTTAGGGTAAATCAGTAATATTTTATTAAGAATAATAGTTTTCGAGTACTTATAAAATATCGGTAACTTATTAATTATTACTTATTCAAGTAAGTTAGTTAGAGTAAAGTAATTAATCTTATTCGATATAAGTACTACTAGGTAATTATATATTAGAGAAGAGTTCTAAATCTTCGAAATATAGTTATATAATAAATACGTAAGTCTAATAATAATATAAAACGTTTATTTAATAATATTAATTCTATTTATACTAACGCTTAATAATACTACCTTTAGAGTGTTGTATAACTAAAATAATAGTAGTATTAGTAGAGTAATATAAAATAAAATATTTTAATTAGCTCGGGTCCGGATTTATAGTTTTTCTATATTATATATTATAATAATCGATATTTTATTAGTTATTATTAGAATCCGATATATCGCTATTAATATATTTCCGATATAATAATCGCCGGAGACACCCCCGATATTATATCGATAATATCGTACCTAAGTCTACTTGTATTTAACTTATTTACGTTTTATAAATTTATATAAGTTAATTACTAGAGTAAAGTAGTTAAATTAAATCCACTTACTACTTAACTTAATATAACTTAACGTAACGGAATTACCTACTTATACCTACTTATACTTATATAACCGAACTTAAATACTAACCGCGTAAAGCTAAGTACCTAGTTTATTAATACGCTATATAAGTCTTACTATAGTAATTATTAATTATTACCTCTCGGTTAGACAGCTACTCTCAGTTCGCGTTGTATAAGTATAAGCATAAATCTTTCTCTCTCTATCTCTGCCTACTTTATTCCTACATTGTTCAGCAGGTACCCTCCTCTACGGATATTATACTATGTTACCAACTATCCATTGCCTTTTTTTTTGTTGAAATGTCTTTTTGTATTCATAATGTATCATCCAGAGATTTCGGTGTGAGGGAATACATTCCTATTCATCCATCCATCGACATCCTATATCATCATGCATACCATCCATCAAATAACCCATATCCATCCATCCGTCCATCCATCCATCCACCTCATTTCATTAAAAGTTCATAACCATAAAGTCCCCTCCCACGAGAATAAAAGGAAAAATAAAGACGCTCTGAAGCTGGGAAATCTAGCCGGTTTAACCAAAAGTCTTATGGCTCCAAAACTCCTCAAACAGATCTCCGAGTCCATCGGTGATCCGTGAATCTCACACATCAAACATCTCCGTGAGAAAGCCTCCCAAAAAAGGAAGAAGGAAGAAACTCAATACTCAACCCCATCAACAAACCTCCTCTCAAACTCACTGAAAAGCTTGGGAGAAATCTCATCACTACTCCCTCCCTCCACCTCCCAAAGCACTCCCTTCTTCGCATAATGCTCGAGAAGCGGCTCGCTCGTCTCCTCGAACTTCTTAAGCCTCGTCATCCACGTCGCCTCATCATCATCGGCTCGCTTTGTCAACTTCTCTCCCGTAATGTCATCTAAGCCCGGGACTTTCGGCGCGTTGAAGGTCGTGTTGTAGACCCGTCCGGATGGAGCGTGGACCCAACGTCCTGCGATACGGGAGAGAATGGTCGAGAAAGGGGTCCGCAGGGAGACGACGAGGTTGATGGGGATCAAGTGGTCGAGTTGGTGGGCTTGGGAGGCGGTGCGGGGGAAGCCGTCAAGGATGAAGGATGCGGTGGGGCAGTTGGATGTTAGGGGTGGGGAGGAGAGGGTTGCGAGGGAGGGGGTGTTGACGAAGTTGTCTTCCATATCGGGATCTTTGACGTGAGAGGTTGAGTTTGAGGAGAGGGTTAAAGGGGTGGTTTGCGCAGGACTGATCCAACCGCGGGTTTTGAGCTCGTGAAGGATTAGACGGAGGATCATGGCGTCGGGGACGAGGGTGCCGGATTTGATGGTTGATTCTGCTTTTATGCCTGTATATTTTGTTAGTACAAGTCTTGAGCATGAGTGGCAGGAGATGGATATTACCAAGAGGAGTCTGATTCTTGACATTTTCACGGAGTAAATCTCCTGAGCTGATGGCTGAGAGTTGAGGGAATCTTTGTAGAAGTCTCTCGGCTTGAGTTCCCTTTCCCACACCAGGAGCGCCGACCAAAATAATGCGAGCTGCTTTGCGAAGCTTCATGGTGTTGATCACTTAATGCAATTATCCTGTAGTTGTGTCTTTTGCGATGCGCCGGAAAACAACCAAGCAATGTCTATTCCGTATGTCCGGTTCCAAGGTCTTTCTTTCTGTTTGTTCTATTCAACTCCGGATGAGAGGGGTACTTGCGCCTGGCCGGCAAGCAAGGGCTATGCTACACTCGAACGAGTTTTTTAAACCATCATGAGATCTGGTGCAAGGGAATAGGTAGGTGGTAATTGGAATATACACGGTGAATGGGAAGGTGGGAGGGGAAGGGGTGAAGGGGGGGTAAGTTGTCGGTGATCGGTGAAGTAGAGGCATGAGAGTGCATGATGAGAGGTTGGAAATGCGGGGAGCGAGCTGCGGCACCGGAACTGGACTGGCTCGCTGGATAGGGCAGGGCAGGGGCAATGGCTTGGCTATGGCTATGGCATTTTTTGTTGAGGTGCAAGTTCACCCCCTGTACACTGTACGTGAAAAGCAATTGCACTTCAATAACGACTTGTCTCGGATTTTGGGGTTTCTAAGAGAGAAGAAGATGTTGATTGGGAATAGTTTCGTCTGCCAACTAAAGAGGGCTCCAATGGCAGCTTCCGAGTGTTATTCGTTGTCTTTGAGAATAGCAGGCTACGTCGCTACGTACCTATGGATGACGATGACGCAGATCTTCCGTCAACAGGCACCCTGAAGCTTAATTCCGAATCCCGAAATCAGTCCATACGAGTAGACTTTCAGTCAGGAGAGACTTGGGGAGACTTTGATAGAAGGGAATTCGCTAATAGTGTTTGGTGTTGATATAAAGCCCGTGACCGTAGCTCACATTGCTCATGGCAACCATAACCAAACGAACCAACGCAAAACATGAATCAGGGATACGGTTGAAATAAGAAACGGGAACTTGTTCTTACAGTAGTACACGTACGAGTAGTGTAGTCTCATCCACCCAAGTACCTTTCAGAAGCCCCGGAAGCAGCCACGTCCCAACCTGGAACCTGACCTAGCCACAAAACACGTGACCATGCTTCTGGAAATTCTTGAACCAGCTGTTCCCATGAATTCCATCCCTAATCTGAGCCCCTCCATCCACCAATCTGTCTTTCATCAAAACAATGGCCCATACATAAGTCACTATACACCTTAAACCATCAACACTCCTTACCAACTCCCATTGCGAATCTTTACCACTTCCCCTGACCGTCTTGTTGACAAGGCGACATCGACATCGACATACACACCCACCTCCACATCCTCAACAATGAGTGCCTCCTCGAGAATCGTCCGCAATGCGGCGCAAACGTCTTTCATGACTGGTGGTGAGTATATTCTCTTCCAATGGCCTATTAGGAACCAGTAAGCTAATCCTCATCTCTAGCCCGAGCATACCCTCGAAATGGTCCCTCTTCAGCATATACAGCATTCCTTCGTCGCAATGCCCGAAACTTGCCAGCTAATATGCCAGCGTTGGCGATCCTAATCCCCCATCGAGGAGTTTCAACCGATACACATACCTCAGGAGTACCACACTCAGGGCCACCTCCTGGATTCAATGCTAGCCAAGCCAAAAAGCCGCTCAAGGATACCAACATCTCCACAAATGCGCCAAACAAAGCTGCCGCCAGTCAAGCCAAGGAACACGAGGTGGCTTCGGTTCCATCAGATGTAGCTACAGGAGTCTCAAAAACCGATGCCACGGAAGCCGTTAGTCTGAGCGAGTTGGCAGGCGTCAAGGCGGCAGAAGATAAGGAGGTCAAGAAGGCAGAGGAGAAGAAGTTGACCTTGGGTCAGAAGATCACAAAAGAGGCACAGCATTACTGGGACGGAACGAAATTGTTAGCAACCGAAGTCAAGATCAGTACTCGATTGGCGGTCAAGATGGCTGCTGGTTACGAACTCAGTCGAAGAGAACATCGTCAATTACAACGAACAGTCCAGGATATCGGACGATTGGTTCCATTCTCGGTCTTCATCCTCGTACCTTTCGCCGAGTTATTACTTCCTGTCGCTTTGAAATTATTCCCAAATCTTCTCCCAAGTACATATGAAGGGCAAAAGTCAAAAGACAAGAAAGCCGGAGATCTTAGAGCCACCCGAAAGGATGTCAGCAATTTTCTCCGCAACACCTTGAAGGAAACAGGCCTTCCTTTGACTGCTGCAAATGCACAGAAAGAGGAATTTACACAATTTTTCCGAAAACTTCGATCAACTGGAGAATCTCCATCGGCATCAGACGTCATCAAGGTTTGCAAGATCTTTAAGGATGATTTGACTTTGGACAATCTGTCAAGACCACAACTTGTCGGTATGTGTCGATACATGAATCTCAACACTTTCGGTACAGACATGATGCTTCGATACCAAATTCGCCACCGTATGAGACAAATCAAGAGAGATGATCGTGCCATCAGCTACGAGGGTATCGACAGCCTATCAGTTCCAGAGCTTCAAGTTGCCGCGCAAAGCCGAGGTATCCGCACTCATGGTGTATCACCCGGTAGACTACGTGACGACCTTCAATCCTGGTTGGATCTTCGTCTCAAATACGGTGTACCATCTACCCTTTTAGTGTTGAGCAACGCATTCATGTACGCCCAAGGCAAAGATAGCGAGTTCAACACTCAGATTGACGCCTTGACTGGTGTCCTCTCCTCCATTCCTGAGGAGCTCTTCCACGAGATTGAACTCGAGGTTCATACTGCCGAGGGAGCTGCTACTAATAAACAACGTCTTGAGGTTCTGAAGGAGCAACAAGAGTTGATTGAAGAGGAGAACGAGCAAGATCAGAACAATAAAGATTCTGGTCGTGCTACCCCCAGAGATGACGAGGATATTGATGAGAAAGAAGAGAAGAGAGAAGCTCAAGCCGCATCCGGGAAACAGGAGCAAGTTAATGAGGCAGTTGAGGCAGAGAAGGAAGGGATCAAGGCTAAGAAGCAAGAGGAAAAGTCCATTTAGACCGGTGATCTCTTGCTCTTAGTGTAAGATCTTACACGGGAAGCGAAAAACTTTGATTTTGTTGTGTTTTTAGATGGCTTCTTAGACTTTTCGATGTTTTTTTACACACCCCTTTTTCTTTTGTCTGTCGTACCATACTTGTTTGTAGCATCACATCACGGGCGGGTATGGATGGGTGTTTTTTTCTTTTTGGAACAGGGATGCATCACAAGCTATGGACTTTGCATAGGCTGGGGCTGGTTGGCTCAGTGGAATAGATGCAATGGACATGTTGGAAAGTAAGGGAGTGGGGGAAAGGGTGACTGGATGAAAAGTTGAGCCAGCGATGGATGAACAATTGTGCCAGCGATAGATGGATGGATGGATAGGGAGATAGATACATGGATGTCATAGCGATGGATTGACGGATGGTACATGGGGGATTGGAGATTGGGGGTTGTAAGATCTTACTTTTTTCACTGCCTGGCTGGCTTGCTGCGCTAGTGCTAGTGGCGATGTTTACTATAGATGGAACGAACGCTCCTCATTTTTACTGGTGCTGTTACCAGCTTCTTGGACTTGTGATTTCCGCTCTTCCAAAAGATAAGGAAGGGAATCTTGTGATGTAGCGAATTGAATTGTTGCTGGTGATAAGATTCAAATTGATGGTGCTTCCGTATTATGGAGATAGAGATGGGAGTTCTCTTGGTGATGTGACGTGTTCGTTATTTCGGTGTACTGTGTGGATAGGATGTAGGGATGCGGACGTGTGTTGTTTTGCGAGTGAGGTGTTTACTGTATGTAGCGAGTGGGTGGATGAATGAGTGGGTTCTTTGAACGGGTGTACAGTACATACATACATACATACATATACATGGTGATGATGTGGCATGGATGGAAAAAGTGGAAGCTTCAGAGCAGAGCAAAGCGCTAGCCAAGGAGGGAGGGTATCTCGATTCTCGTATGAAGAGCGTATCGAGCTCGTATGAAAAGAGAAGAGGGAGGAAGTAGGTAGGTAGGTAGCTAGTAGGAAGTAGGTCATGTCACTCATTGTCCATTACTCTTCATCTAGAGTAGATCTGGAACTGCGTCTGGGAGCTCGAGGGGATGGAAGGGGAAGGGAAGGGAAGGGATTCATTTTTTGGTAGGTAAGCTTACGAGTACGGTGTACCTACCTACCTAAGAATTAGGCTTTTTTCACTGGAACTAAACTCTGGAAGATTTGGGGGTAGGATTTTAATGAGAGAGGGTATAGATAGATGTATATATAGATAGAGGGATAGAGTGATGGTCTGTCTGGTCTTGATTGTGTATATTATTTACCTCCCTTCACCCCGGGTCCCCCGCTGGGTTTTAACAATTTGCGGTGGGTACGAGTAGATTGGAGGGGTTGCTTTTCTGTCGTCGCTTGTCTTTTGGGAAAAGTCTCTTTTTTGTGTTTTAATGATTATGTTTATGTTTGTGTTTATGTTTATAGTAGAAGGCGACATGCGAGGGGACGGGAGGAATTTTATTATATATCACGTGATGACATAAGCGTTTTCCACCTTAAAGAAAACTAGTAGGCCAGGTATAGTCTCTGTAGATAGTTGGACGAGGGTTAAAGTAGTTTAACAATAGGGGTAGTAAGAATACTAGAGAGATAATTATATATATATTTAAGAACTAAGAACTTTTAAAACTTAAGTTTTTATTAAAAGCTATTTTTTTTCTTAAGTCTTAAGTTATAGATTTTAGGCTTAAAAACCGCGTAATATTGTAGGCTCTAGGTACTACTAAGATACCCCTGTCTTATATATTAGAGCTATACTTCCTCGAGTCTTATATAGAAACTAACCCGCTAACTACTAGTTAAAGCGCCTGGTTTATCAGCGAGTCGATCATATCACCGAGTCGATCACTTTTTCTTGGCACAGAACTTTACACCTAAATAAATCAACCACAATATATTAAATTAATTATCGCTCTCTATATCTGACGAACTAGATATATCTATAACTTCTTGACAAGTTCGCGCGTTATGACCAGCTTTTCCACAAGTTCTACAGCGCCGCCTAGAAGGTTGCCCCTCCTTATAACCAACCCCCGCCTCACGCATGTCGCGTCGTACTTGCTCATCTACATCCTCCTGAGCTAACATATCCTGTACATCCTCTACTATAAGTGCCCCTCCTTGGCGGACACGAGTCTTTTTAGCCCTACGGCGTTTACTTAGGGCTTCATTTGCAGCGCGAAGGGTACGGACCTCAGCAGACAAAAGGGTCATCTCATGTGCCATTCGCTCTGTACCCTTTGCTAACGCAGCAACTGTTTGAAAAAGTGGAGTTGGCGAGCTTCCTTGATGACAGGCTATACGATTTCGTACAAGAGTTGATTGTGAAAGGGCTTCAGTTGGGTTGGAAGGGGTCTGGGACACCCAGGGGAGGGAGTTGGCACTACACGTCCGAGGGGGAGTTGGAGTCCGTAACCTTACGTCAAGCTTTGAAAGCACTGCTTGCGGGTTAAATGGTACTAGGCCAGCTCCGCGGAATCCAGACTGACAGTTTAGGACTGTCATTGTTTCCTTGTATGCTGCTGTAAAGGCTAGAAAGAACTCAACCTTTGTAATATGGTTGATATGGGCCTTGATAAACGTCTCAATCTGCCGACCATACGCTCGTTTTAACACACTATAGCACCCAACATCAAGTGGCTGGGTTAGATGGGATGAATGAGGAGGTAGTCCAAGAGTAATAATGTTGTGTTTCGTACAGTAGTCTTGGAACTCAGCCGATTCATGACTCTCGTGCCCATCCAAAACTAGTATTCGATACAGACCCTTTGCACGAGCTGTAGTGTGTTTATCAAAGTGCTTTAACCATTCCAGGCCTGTTTCATTATTTGTCCAACCATTGCTTGTCGGTTTCATAACCCAGTTAGGTGGGAGGCCGCCGTCGGTATACCAGTTGGAGAGATGGTTCTTGCCCTGAACTACCAAGAATGGAGGAATACTCCAGCCCTCCCCATTAATACAGGCAATTGCTGTAGCCCATTCCCGATTGCCTGGCTGAACTGCCTTGCCTCTACCACGTCGGTCTGCACGAGTAACAACCATTCTAGGACAAATAACACCCATCATAAAGCCTGTCTCGTCGAAGTTGTAGAAGTCGGAGTCTGTAACCCCATATTTCGCCCTCATATTCTCTACTAGCCGGAACCATGCGCCTAGCACGTCAGGATCTTCGCATAAGGCCCTCTGGAAGTCGTAAACGCGATTAAAACGCGTCTTAAGGTCTGGTTGTCGTTGTACGAATCGATGGGCCCAGAGCTTGCCGACGCGTCTTCCCCCCCGCGATTCAAGGATAAAATTAGCCATATCTTCTACACCAGCGAGCCGGGGCGCAAATCCTCTGGAATCCATATCCAGTATATACCGAATAATCACTTCCTCTTCTAACTCAGTCAACTTATGACAATTGGCTTGAGAATCTGGGCGGTAGGTTCGGCCAGCCATTCTGTCGGAAAGAGTCGTATATGGTACATTGTAGATCTTTGCCGCAGAGCGTTTGCTTAGTTTTTTGGACGACCGAATAGCCTCGATAGCTAGAGTAATTCGCGCTTCTTGAGTTTGAATTTCCATGGTAAATAGTTGAAGAAAACGTGTGTTGAAGTTTGAGGAGGTAGTGCCAAGGAAAAGTGATCGACTCGGTGATATGATCGACTCGCTGATAAACCACGTTATACTTATTTAATTTTACTAAATTAATCGAATTTATAACTTATAACTTACTTATATCAGTAGTCGTTATATACGTATAATACTAAGTATAAAAAGTACTCCTATAAGTAGTATTTAGAATCTCCTCTTCTCTTCTCTTCTAACTACTAGGAAAGAAGTAGGAGATCTATATCTTTAGCTAGAAGAAGAAGAGGAGAATAGGTTACTTATCTAGAAAGGAGTAGATAAGGAAAAGTAGGCTTTAGGAGAGGAGTAGGAAGGAGAGGCTAAAATAAGGTAGAAAAATAAGGTTATTTATAAGTATACTAGGTTCGTTAAAGTACGCTAGGTTCGTTAAAGTACGCTAGCTAGGTTCGTTAAAGTACGCTAGCTAGGTTCGTTAAAGTACACTAGCTAGGTTCGTTAAAGTATACTAGTTCGCTAGTTCGCTAGGTTCGTTAGTTCGTGTCACGATTACGAAATCAGCAGGTGACATTTGGGACCATGGGCTCAGACAGCACTTCGCTGACAGGAGAACCCATTGGTATTTAACCAATAGTAAGGATCGGGTGGTTTCATCAGGCTAGCCAGACGATCCAAGGAATTTCTCAGCAACCAGAAATCACGTGACTATATCGACTTGATCGAAATCGATGAAAGCGATGATCGATTTTATCGATTGCGATGGAAGCGATATATTGGGAACGAAGGTTCTATATAAGACTGGCACGTCTGCCATTAGATAGGAGCTTCGTGCTCAACTTAGTTATCAATCTTATCATATTAGTTTGACATCTTTGATACAAGTAACGAGTTCACTTCCAAGTGAACAACCCGATAGTCTTCTTCTTATCATAGCATACCAACCAGCGAACACCCAGCCAAGTTTAGTTAGCCAGTTTGAGTATTCGTTACAGTTCGTTAGTTCGCTAGGTTTATTAAAGTACGCTAGCTAGGTTCGTTAAAAGTACGCTTTATTAAGAGCTACGTACTACTATATATTTATACTCGAGTATCCTTTTACTCTAGATTAAGGACGTATATATCTACCTAATTTCTACCTATTTTACTACTATATTTTAGACCTATTTTAGACTTACTAAAACCTATAATACCTAGCCTTAGAAGTACTCCCGCCCTCTCCTATCCGGTACCCTAGCGAGGATAAGGAGTACTGATTAGTTAGGATTAGAGTAGGAAGGAGAGCGCTTTAATTTATACGAATAAGAATAGAGAATTCGTAGAATAGAAGTAGTAGGGAGAGGTTTAGAGGGGAGATTCTAAATACTACCTATAAGCTATAATATAGTATTATAGAGTTTCCCCGACTACTATATACTCTCTTTATAGGCTAAAAGACCCTTAATTATTAAGGAATTACTCAGAGCTAAGGGGGTTATTAGCTAATTAGTATTTAAGAGCTAAGCTTACTTAAGAGCTTATACTTTTTAATAGTTAAAAAGTTTAGCTATTACCTAAGCGCTAAAAAGTAATTAACTATCGGGCGATAATTAAATTTAATCGGTTATCTATTGAGTATATATAGAGACTGTACTTGGCCTACTAGTTTTCTATAAGGCAGGTTACCTAGAGGACAGGGCAAGATGAAGACAACCTTGGAAGACATGAACAACCACTAAATCAGGCGCTGCTATATCTCTTAATCCTCAAGTTCACTCACCCTTATAGACTCTAAATACCCCGCCAAGTTACTCCAACAGTGTGATTGTATTTGTCCCTTTCAAGTGAGGGAGCGGCCTCGCTCGTTGGGGGCCATTATCCCCCAATTCTGACAAATGCAGCCTCATCATGTATGTAGCAGCCTTCACCCCATCTCCTGGTCGCAGAAATCCGAACTCGAACCATTACAAGCGCTAAAGCGGTAACCAACTTCAAAAATGCGTCTCCTTAACACTAGCACGCTTACCTTGGAAGAATTTTATGGCGCTGTCCCCAAATATGCCATTCTAAGCCACCGGTGGAGAAAGAAGAGGTCTCCTTCCAAGCCATGAATGCAGGAAGGGCTGGGCGAGCATATCAGCTCATGGGCTACGAGAAAATCAATCGCAGTTATTTCCAAGCGATGGACGACGGGTTGCGATATATTTGGGTGGATACCTGTTGTATCGATAAAACGAGCAGCGCTGAACTTTCCGAGGCTATCAATTCCATGTTTTTATGGTATCGGAATGCGGAGGTGTGCTATGCTTATCTGTCGGACGTTGACGAGGATTCGGAGTTGTCTGGGAGTTTGTGGTTCACGAGGGGTTGGACTTTGCAGGAGTTGTGTAGGTGTTGATTGCTGTGAATACCAACCATTCTAACATATCTAAAGTGGCACCCTCGAAAGTGGTTTTTTATGGTCATGGTTGGACTCTTCTCGGTACTAGAGAGAGTTTGAAAATACGACTCTCCGATATCACTGGAATCAGGTCCTTGCATGACTTCCAGAATGCGTCTATCGCACAGAAAATGTCATGGGCATCCAAGAGGATAACCACCAGGGTTGAAGATATGGCCTACTGTCTCTTGGGTTTGTTTGGTGTTTACATGCCGCCTCTTTATGGAGAGGGCAAAAATGCTTTCTTGAGACTCCGGTTGGAGATCTTGAGCAAGAGTGACGACGAATCTATATTTGCCACGACAGAGGATCTCCCGGAGAGTGGCATGCTGGCAGCTTCTCCTGCTTCTTTTTGTGATTCCGGGGATGTTGTACAGATTGGAGTTGGAGGAATAGACAGAATTCCATATCACATGACAAATAAAGGGCTGGAGTTGAAGGCAGATATTACGAGTATCTCAACGAATCATCGTTTTGGATTGATTCTATTGCCCATCAATTGCAAACGAGTAAGTCAAATGGCCATCACTTTACGCCATTCTCACGGAGACCAATATTTTCGATTGCCGATGTATTTGATTCCGAGTTTACAATATTCTGGATTGCCAATGTATTTCCACCCGAGATTACCTAACCCAAGTACAGTTGGAAGAACCTTGTATATCCGACAGTGGAATTTTGATACCCCTTACCTTGCAGATGGCGCACCTGGGCGCTATGAATTTTTGATCCAGAACTATTTCGGGAACGAGGTCGAGAAATTTGGCACCAAAGTATTGGGAGTAATCACGAGGCGGGGGGGTGATTGCCAATTAGAGCTGACCGACACCAAGGGGCATGTTCTCCAGTTTGGAACCCTCAACATTATCGTCTCCGCTTCTTTGCCTGGAAGTTGGGCCACCATCATATACAAAACCGACACGAACATGTTGTTTGGGACGATGCTTTACTTCGATAACGAATTTCGTGTGGGCATACACGTCCTAGACCTCGCGGAATCAGGTTTACATGAACAGTTGTCAACGGGGGAGCCGATTGAAGCGCTGCAGAAACTTAACAAAGTGCCCATTCCTGGAGACGCTGGAGACTTCGCAAACAAAGCCTCGGATACTCGACGAGAAATTGGACATTCGTTTGCGGAGGGAATAAAAAAGATTGTGAAGGGACAAGGCAAGACGAACATTTTGACGCAAAAACTCCACCCCATGGTAGAAGACACGTTCCGGAAATTACTTAGCGAGGGATCACGGCAACTTTCTCATACTGCTCAATTGACAATGATTCGTCCACTTCTGGATCTCACAGTGCATGCCACATTGACAGGAGGCCCAAACCTAGGCAAAAAACGCTTTGGGGCTACTATTAGAATATCAAAAAGCCTCTAAAGCTTTATGGGAGATATATTTACAATCCTTTGAGACATGGAACCAATTGTTGAGTTGTTTTTCTGTTACTGCATGATCAAGACTCAATTGGGGCGTGGGGATGCGCCCGTTGGAGCAAGCGAGAACCGAGCTCCCGAGGCAACTGAAAGATGGAACGACCTGGAAGATTTTGAGGCTCATCTGTGCCCCTCGCGTCGGCTACAAGTCCCAATGTAACTTCAAAAGAGGCCGAGATATCTCGGCTCGGGTTCTGCTAGCTTTGTTGTCGCAGTGTTAAACTGTGAACATGTCCTTTCTGGCAAATCGAATACCACATACTTCATCTGGATAGCCCCAACAGAGGGCTTACCTGCGGTCAAATCAGCTTATGAAGTTGTGGACTCCACGATACCTTTAAATTGCCAATAACTCAATCATTCGGTCAAAATAGGATGCAAGTTCCAGAATTCAATGGGGTCGGAACAGGTCAAGGCCTCTTTATTATCGTTGCCTTACATGTATCTGCTTTGTCATGTAATTGTATTGCTTACTGGTTTTAGCCGAGAAATGTCCTGCATTGCCGTTGATTAAAGTGGTGCCTTGAATGCATCAGCTTTGTCATATATTGGGAAACCTCATGCACTGCCGTTTATTAAACGGTATTACGGCGGAGCTTTGATGTCGTGGAACATTCTTTTGGTGCTTAACTTCTATATAGTGTTACAGTACGAGCTTTCTTGGCATCTGTATTCGATGTGAGATCTAGAGGAGTCAGGTGACATGTCTTATATAGGATGTGTTGATGAAATGCCCAACTCAAAGCTAGTTTGAAGGATGTTCGTATTTAATTTTGGTTTCAGCGATACTTACATAATCGTAATACTGCAAGATAGTAGATATCGCTTAGTCTGCCGAGTTCAGTCCAAAGCCTTCCAAGTGGATGCTCGCAACCCCAAGTTTTTAAGTACTATCAAGCCTTTTTGATTGTAGCACCTTTGACTGCATCGGGATATAGTGCCGGTAAAGTAAGTATCATCGTCTGATTTCGGGTGTGCGGCGGTAAAGCCCACATGCTTCCTGCATGTAAGAAAATTTCCGCCCCACAAAATGGCTTTACCCTTGCATAAGCCATTGTCCCTTGATGAATCTAGATTGAAGGCGTATGTAGGTGAAGAGTCTTTTCTCTTGACCTGGAGGAGGAATCATAGAGCGGTGTATGACTTTGTCAAGCTCGGGACTCTCTCATATGCATTGGAGGATGAAGTCGAAGTTGTCTGGAGAGTTCTTTGAGTGTAGAGATCTTTTCATTCTGAGGGGTTGCTTCTCTAGCTTTAGGTTACATACAGTAAAAACCTTCTGAATGTTCAATCAAAGCTCTGATGCAGAAAATCTTTGAGCTGGTCAGAATCACATCAGCACTTCAGTCGTATCCCCTCCAATCGCCAGAGGATCGGGAAAAACATGGACTCGAAGTGGAGTAAAAGTGTCCATTTCTATAACATTTCCCTCGTAGAACAAAGTATTTTGGCCAATCAGGTCGCACTTCGAAGTATTTGAGCCGCAATTCGTTATTGCATCCACTTCAAGTACGCACATTTTCAGTTCCCCTAGCATTTGGAAGGGACGGAAAAGTGGTGCCCTCGAGTTTCGAGCTCCTTGTATAACATCGGTTTCCTATTTCTTGTTACATCACCTGCTGACTACATGTACGCAGTACAAAGTACTATATGGGTGGATATTTACCTAACGATTGCTACACGTGGATATAATGCATTTTGTCGCATTCATCTATCCACACGTCCACAAGACCTGTTTGCTATTAGCATACTGCCTTTCGACACTTCAGTAGGTACCTGGCTAACTCTTCTTCCTCATCTCCGAATGAAACTTTCACGTTCTTATGTCGTTGAGTTTCTCCAATTTAAGTTCATACAACTGCAGATATCTTATCACGTAAGACTTGAACCACCAACTTCCATTTCCAGTCAAGTCAGCAAGCCACAATATGACATGGAAAACTTAGTTTGTTCCAGAATTTGAGCCTCCAGCTCGTAAGACGAGATCCACCATTATCTACTTACAGGCTTACAGGTAAGTAAGCAAGCCACAATACGACTTAAAGAGCCTCCTCTCCTTCATAATTGAGTATCCAGAGGTATTCAATTTACAACATCTCAGCGCTAGGAGTAATAGCCTGTTAATTCGACCGAGCTTAAAAGTGATGTAGCGAATATATGTGTGTTTAGTTCAAGGAATTTGATGCCTTGAAAGTGTTTGTATTTCTACAAAAGTGGTAATTTAAACCAGTCCATGCGGCGTAATGGATTTAATGCCACTATATGGTGAAGTTCTTTAGGATTTTGACACCACAACCTTAAGATTTATGCAATTGTGAATTGAGAGCCCAGAAAGGACTTACTCATGATTCTAAATATTTTAAAACATCAGCTCTCACAATAGCAAGACCTATCGCGACGTACAACATAACTGACTTAAAGACCCGCATGGAGCTAACACTTCCCGCTAGGACGTTATAGATGGAACGCATTAACGTAGGAAGTTCAGTATCTCAGATGATATGACCAATTAACTCATCAGACTTGAGCGGATATGGATATCGTCAGACGACAGCTGCATATTTACATTTACAGTGCGCCAAGAAATCATGGGAAAGGAAGGCTGGATAGTTACAGGAAGGTATGCGAAAGTGTTACCATGTCATATTGCTACTATGTAAAGCTCGGGTAAGAAATATTATGGGACCAAGCATCATGAATAACGGAAAATATCTCATTTCATCTCTCCAAAGCACTATATAATTTCCATCCTCCTCCCAACAACGCATCCTCATCATCATCCATCTTCACAATCACCTCTATCCAACATCTTCACACTTCCCCCCAACCAACTCAACCACCCCAAACCACAAAAATGCAGTTCGTAGCAGCCCTCACCGTCTTCCTCACTACGGCCCTCGCCGCCCCTTCACCCCTCGCTCCCTCCCCCGAGGTCGCAGCTCTCCCCCCAATGGCTCCAGAAGCACTCGCTCGCTTCAGCGCCAAGCAAGTGACTTCCGCCAACATCTCTTCCGAGGCCGTCGCCGTCGTTGGCAAGCGTGCCATTACGCATTTGTACTATTGCCAGAATGCAGGCTTCGTGCAACCATGTGACAACTTTGAAGCCCGAACTGGAACTTGTTGTAAGTATCAAATTCCGATTGTGATGGGGAAGAGAGGAGGATGAAGAAGAGAGCATGAAAGCTGATTTTTGGACTGAATAGATAACTTCATTAACGGATGGAATGATGTTGTTTCCTCTGCCGGTCCTGATGCTGGGACGACTTGCACTTTGTACTGGTATGTCACTCTTCTCACTATCCCATTACCCTCCCCTTCTCTACCTCCCCACCTCTATCTTCCTCAAACTAATGATCTTTACTTGTAGGGACTCCGGCTGCCGTGGTCGTAGCGTCTCCTTCGTCAACCCTGGAATCTCCAACTTGGTCGATGTTGGATTCAACGACCAGGCCAGCTCTTGGAGATGCTCTTAGACGACACCATGGTGTTTACCCCCACTCTCTAAAAGGATTACAAAGGGAACATTGTGATAGAGAATATATGATAGATGGGTCGTAAGGTGATGGAGGAGAGAGATGACATATATGCGATGAAGTGGAGACTGTCATTACTGCCAATTCCTTACCATGGGCCCATGGTTGAGTAATCTTAATTCATTTACTTAATTTCTTAATAAAAGCTATCTTCTGGATCCTTCAGGTCTTTTATCTGTGCGATGTACATGGAAATATGTTAGGTCTATCGTGTATGAGCTTTATTGTCTTCTACCCTACCTTTGTATCGCCAAGGCAGAAGCGAGCGTTTGGCGAGCCCCTTTTTCCGCTGCGTCAGTTTCCATAGATTATCTACGAATAAACTTATAGCAGGCGTTACAACATGAAGTTTTATATGGTATTTCTTGTTTCTTGCTTATGAAATCAGCTTTCTAAGTATATATATAGTTTACCAAACCTTGCATTTATCTATTCGAGATGTTATCATCTTATTGATATCTCTACTCATACCTACTATTTGGAGCACAGTTTTGAATAATATTATCAAGTCAAATAACACACTCATTAATATGTTATCTCTCACGAGATCCTCTCATCTTATTGAAAAAAAAGACCCCACTAAATTTATGAAAAGACAATAGTTGTATCACTATTGGCCGATTGTATAGTTAGTGAATAAAAAAGAATCTGACCCCACGGGGAAAGGGGAAGCGACGATTAAGCAAAATATTGAGTTTGAGCTTTACTCGAAGTGGCTCGACAGGGAGGGTTGGCCAGGGTTACACTACCTACGGAGTATACGATCCGTAGGACAGACTCAATAATGTAAGGTAAGCTTCTATCCCCGTTCCAGTTCTCAACACTATAGAAACTTTATAGCTATAGCTCAAAGTCAATTCACCTTGTGAATTCAGCTTCTTCAGCCAAGATTTGGGTTGTGTTAGTCCAAGAAAAGCTTCTCAAGCTCGTAACAAGGTAAACAACCCCTTCGAAGAAAATCAAAATACTGCGTTATTGATTTTGTCTTTCAATTTCAGTCCTTGTCTTTATTGCCTTTGCTTTCTGTTTGTAGGATACGTAAGCCAGCGTCCAGGGATCTGTAGATAGCCTCGTCAACTTCCCTAGTTGTTACTGTATCGGGTACAAATCTTACGATTCGGTCCTCGCTTATTCCCCTTCACCATGTACCATCACATACTGGGTACATCGATTTCCCCGCCCTAATATGAAATAGCGCTATGTGATTGGATATCTAAACCTTGTTGCTCGATTCAAGTGGTATGTTTCATGAATGGGAGGCTAAGAGTGGCAAAAATCGGAAGATATTGAAGCGAAAGTCATAAAATGTTCTCATTCACGGGTTATGCCCATGAGAAACCTCTAGCGCTTGCGTGATCAAAGCTTTGAACTACAAGAACTGTATATTGATCTTGTAACCTCAAACTCTTCCCTTTTCCTATCCATACACACATCTCTCCTCCTGGCAACCCGTTGTTTGTCGAGACATTACAGCCTCATAATTGCTCGTCTTGAACGTTTATTGCTCATGGATCATAGCAATCAAGCAACGGGGACGCGAAATTCCTCCCAGGTACACTCAGTAAGCAATCCTGAACAGGAAAGCGATGCTAGCTCCTCCGTTGAACAGCTTGCCGAGAAGATATTAGAATATGAGCTCAGTAGCGACTCGTCCACCATCCTGCCTGAAATCATCCCATCAGCATATAAGAACATTAACAATCTCACCATTTCCACGCCAAGTGCCACCACTATAGAAGACGAGGAAAAGCGATTCGCAATCTTTGAATTGTCCCCAGTCTCGCCAATCACATTGACTTCGCCTACCTCGTCGGTTGGAGAAGACTTTCCGATTCTTTCGTCTCGATCCTCCGATACGGTTGTTGAAGATGCTTATCCCGAGGGTGGTCTTCAGGCATGGCTTATTGTTTTCGGCGCTTGGTGTGGCATGTTTGCATCCCTCGGCGTTGGTAGTACTCTCGCAACATTCCAAGCCCATATCTCAGTCAATCAAATGGCATCTTATTCCCCAGAACAGATCGGGTGGATATTTTCCATCTATGCTTTCTTGACCTTTGGTTGTGGCATCTATACAGGTTCGCTCTTTGACATCTATGGCCCTCGATGGTTGGTCCTTTGCGGAAGTATTTGCCAGGTAGCTTGTATGTTTCTCTTGCCACATTGCAGCTGTAAGTCTACCCACATCCAATCTCCAAGGAAGCGAAAATAATCCCCTAACTTGAATAGCCTTCTATCACTTTGCAGTCGTATTCGGTATCCTCGGTGGAGTCGGTTCTGCTTTGATCTTTACTAGCTCAATTGCATCAGTCGGCCACTTTTTCAATAAACGTCGGGGACACGCTACGGGAATTACTGCTGGAGGTGGTGCTTTTGTGAGTAGCCAGTCATTTCTTTTGCTATCTTAATAAGAGTCGGACCAGTTGATATTAAGGAATATACATGCTGACTCATTCATAGGGTGGCATCGTCTTCCCACTACTTCTCCAAAGTCTCATACCGAGGATTGGCTTCGCTTGGGCAGTACGTATCATGGGATTCATCATACTATTGTTATGCATCATAGCATGTTTACTCATCCGGTCTCGTCTCCCACCCGCCCCCCGGTCGCCGCATCCGGATTTTCGAATTCTGGCCAATCCCGCATTTGCTACCACAGTCGTTGGAGTCTTTCTCGTTGAGTGGGCACTATTCATACCACTTACATATATTACCTCTTATGCCCTCAAAGAAGGATTCCCATACGAATTATCTTATGCCATTCTTCCGATCTTGAACGCCGGTAGTGTATTTGGTCGTTGGATCCCTGGTCTTTATTCCGATCTTCTGGGACGCTACAACACATTTATCCTCTTTCTACTTATCAGTATTTTTTCTATTCTTACCATATGGTTTCACTTTGGGCCTTCCACTCCTGGCCTCACCACTTTTGCACTTATCTTTGGATTCTCATCTGGAAGCAATATTTCGTTGACACCGGTCTGTATCGGCCAATTGTGCGATACGCAAGATTACGGGCGATATTATGCAACTTGCTACTTTATTGTCAGTATTGGTTGCTTGACCGGAATACCACTTGCTGGCGAGATTCTACAAATTTGCCATGGCAGTTATTGGGGACTGATACTTTTTACCGGCGTTTGTCATATTGGCGCCCTTGCTGCATTTATTATTGCCAGAGGTTTGGGTGGTAGTTGGAGTGTGTGGAAGAAGTACTAACATCACAGATGTCATAAACTGGTTATTAGATCAGACTTTGGTTATTCTTACAGAGGAGAGTAGACTTTTTTATCATTGCTCACTAGAAATTATTATTAGATGGTGTACCAGAATAGCGAGTACAATACTCGTAATAGGTTTTGAGGCTGCCTCCCTAGGTAGAATAGGCCGAAGTCTTAGTTTGACAGGAAAAGCTACTCGTCTCTGATGGGTAGCACGGACTGCAAACACAGCCATTCCTAGGCGAGGAAAATATTAAGTTCAATGCCAATTCAAGTAGCCCCGCGTTCAAACACTAGTAAAAAATTTATAATAAAATTCGCGTATGAAAATAGGGGCGGCGGTCTAAAAGGCACCATCACTCAATTGCCGCTTTTATATATAAGGTTACGAGTGCAGCATAGTTCCCGACATAGTTGAGGTGCGAATGTCTTTTTCGGCTCAGGCTATAATTCTTTTTGCTTTCGCTATAATGCTTTTTGACTAGCCGAATATGGGAAGAGGGTCCGCCGTGCCCTGGAGTACTGAAAGTCCAAAAGTGGCCATATTAAAAATTGTACCGTAGGTACCTGTGCTTTACTATCGACGACGTCGATATTTGTGGGCACCTCGACGCTTATTCGTGAAATATATATAAAAAGTTTAGTGTTCTGAAAAAAGGGGGCGACGTAACAGTAAGGCGGTTTATATTCCACTAACCCTAACCTATAGCCCTAACCCTAACTCTAACCCATTGGGGCTATTAGGATGCGACAGTAAGGATACAGCGACAGTAAGGGTAGATGTACCTCGTGTGCCTTAAGGTATAAATACGCTTTTTCCTATTTACACCCAAAACACTGCTAAAAGGGAAACGCCGAGTCACCGAGGGCGGCGGCAGGGGATCAAAAAGCATTATAGCGAAATCAAAAGCATTATAGCCTGAGCCTCTTTTTCTCATGACGTGTTTGGCTCAGATTAGTGGAGTATGCACTATTCGGTAGTATACCCCTACATTCCCAAAACTCTACGGTTTTAGAAGTAGGTATGCACCGAGTATATACTGGACTACATACTCGAGTACTCCAATTGTATACCATTCAGCTTCCACTGACTATAGTAGTGATTGCTATAGTTCTTTACTCTTCAGTTATATATATACTGTATAAACAACATCTCTAGAGGGGTTTATGATACCTTTATTAATGCTAGGTAAAATAAGCGAGTTTACGGAATACGCACCCTTTCAATGGGTCTAAGCGCACAAATAAGTCTTCTATGATATAGGAAAAGACTCGCTACAAGGATACGCGTTATAAGGATATCCGTTTATATCCTCATTCTATCCGGCCCCAGCCATATCCTTGTAGCGAGGTCTTTCTCTACTCTGAACATACTTCAAGTGACAGACTACCGGTACTCCATCCGAAGGGTAACCTTTCTCTGCATTCGATGTGCTAGCTAAAAGGTCCTTATCCTAGCGAGTCAGGATCTAACTAGGAGTGTGCACGCTTACTATGTATGGTGCACCCTGGTGGCATTACAAGTCAAACAGGCTGTTGGTCGCCATTTTCTCCTCACGGTCGCACAAATCAAGAAAAACTTCAAAAGAAAAAAAAACGACACAATCAGTACTGGCACTGTGCCTGGTGCTATGCTCGGACCGCGAAATGTGCGACATGGCTGACCATCAAGAAACCAAACTTGATGTGAACAGTCCCAGAGCCAATCACAACCACACCAGGGAGCGGAAGCAGAAGAACAATGGGAGGTGGGACTGGCTCGCAGGACCACGACCGGATATCCTATCTCCTTTTCAGAAATTTGTCTTAGACGGAGTGGATTGGACTGCGTCGCCTCTAGGTCCCATAGCTCAATGGCCTATACAACTCAAACAAGTGGTTTTTGCGGTAGAACGTGACACACAACCCGCGGTCGTATTTTGGGGGGAGTTGATGACGATTGTTTACAATGAGGCATATTCACAGCTCATTGGTAACAGCCACCCCAAGCTTCAAGGAAACGATCCAAGAACTGATTTCAAGGGTCTTTGGCCTCAATTCGAGAAGCTGCTGGTCAAGCAACGGATGGATGCCGAAACGGTTGTTGATGATGATGCACTCGTTATGATCGATCGCCATAATTTCTTGGAAGAGACATATTTCAGCTGGAAATTCATCCCCCTACTTGGGGTTGATGGTTGCGTATCGGGGAGTTACGTTACAGTTGTCGAAACGACACGAGAAGTACTTATCGAGCGAAGAAGTGCCATCGCACGTTCTTTGAGTCGGGAATTAGCTCGAACAGGAACAACAACGGAAAACATATGGAGGCGAATTATCGCTGGACTCGCGGACGCTGGCAGAGATATGACAAGTGCCGTAGTTTACTCGCTGAAGTCTGCGGATGGAACCTCAGTTGGAGCATCAACTTGTAAGGAATTTCGACATGAAGCTGGGACCGGCATCATAAGCGGCCGTGAGTTAGTACCAGCAGTATATATAATGAATGACTGCGTTCCTACCAGTCTTGAAATTCCGATACGAAAATCAATCGAATCCAGAAAAATTGAGGTGGGACCCCTTCCGAAATTCGAACAACCAGTCGCATGGCGAGACGACATCATACCAACCGATTTTGCATCTTGTCCCATAATCTCTACGGATACAGATGAGTTACTAGCAGTTCTAGTACTGGCACTCAATCCCGGAAGGCCCTTCGATGGCGAATACCGAAATTTTATTGAGATGCTCATACAGCAGATCATAACGCCTCAGGTTACTGCCACAATGACAGGTGAAAGGCGCCAGACCATCGAACGACAAGAGATAATCCACAGAGAGAAATTGTTGAAAGAGCTCTCAAAAAGCGAGTCGAACTTAGCGAGGATAACAACAAGAGCCCCGTTCGGGATGGCCATTCTTAATATTGACGGATCTCCTGTTACAGCCAACCAACACTGGCAAGATCTCACCACATTGGACCTTGAATCTAGTATAGCTGATTGGGAAAGAGTCCTTATGCCAGGGGAACTGGATATTGCTTTGGAATCATGGGACCGCGTTTGCACTCATGGCGAGGCGGTTAAGTATCAAACAGCAATCAACAGGCCCTGGAGACCCGCAGGCGCCGACGTCGACGCAGACGACGAAGAACATAATTGCACGCATATCATATTCACAACATTTCCCAACTTTGATGAGAACGGAAAAGTTGCCACCGTCATGTCATATCTCACCGATATAAGTGAAATAAAGTGGTCTGAGAGACAGCTGAGAAAGAGAATGGAACAAGCGATCGAGATGAAGTTGCAACAGGAGCGTTTTATTGACATGACAAGGTTAGTTTTGTGTCTCAGTTTCTTGTTTCTATCTATGTGACCTCGGTGCTCATGGAAGGAGGACATTGGAGTATAGCATTGGGAATGAGACTTGCTTGATACCAACTCCCTCCTATCCCAAGCAGCGTCCATTGATCGGGTTTTGAGCGTTTCAAACGAAGCTCATCTACCGTGTCCTGCGGATCAGATTTACCCCTAGGGTAAATAGGAGATTTGAAAGATTTACTCGAACCCTCGGAATCATGCGCAGAAGTACGAGTGTTGGTTTTCTTGAGCTTCTTAATATTTTACGATAGTTTCTGTCGCGATGCTTGCATGTCATTCAGCGCTATGATTGTGCTCACAGACAACCTTAACAGTTCACAATGCTGACAGTGCCTCCCAAGTCATGAAATGAGAAATCCGTTATCAGCACTTATGTAAGCAACTTTCCACTTAATACCAACTTCAAATTTCTTTGTTCAGTGCGCAAGAGGGCTTACGATTTTCACTTCCTGCTTCCGACTCCTAATTCAACAAAAATTGTGCTCATTGTTCTAGTGGTTGTGCCGACGAAATCATCGCTGCACTTCGAGATTACCGCATGACCATCCAAAACCCCCATTTTTGGCCCTTGCCACCGTCCCCTACACATGAGCGCAATGAAAGGCAGCCATATGTCGAACCCCTTGAAGAATGCATCGAATCAGCAAAGACAATAATATACTGTGCTATGCATCAGAAACGAATAATAGACGACATATTAACGCTCTCTCGCCTGGACTCCAACTTGCTTCCAGTTTGCCCAGAACCCTCTCAACCAATCCATCTCATCAGATCTGCCATGAAGATGTTTGATAATGAGCTCAGACATGCTGCGATTGAGTTTGAATTCATCGAGGAGGCATCAATCCAAACTCTTGGTGTCCATTGGACATTACTGGACCCTTCCCGTGTCCTTCAGGTTTTGATAAACCTCATGACAAATGCCATCAAGTTTACTCGATCACTGCCAAACGCCCGGATTCAAATCAATGTAGGAGCATCTTTACAATTACCTTCGGAAACGAATGAGCATGGAGTCGAATACGTTGCGAAAAGCAAAAACAGCAGTAACCAGGACCAGACGGGAAAGGCAGAGTGGGGAGATGGTGAAATTATTTACCTCAGCGTTACTGTGAAAGATACCGGCTGTGGTTTGAGCAGGGAGCAGAAGACGAACCTCTTTCGACTTTTTCAACAAGGAAGTCCCAGAACCCATATTCAGTACGGAGGATCAGGACTAGGTCTCTTTATTTCTCGCCAACTTGTTGAGATGCAGGGGGGCCAATTCGGAGTTGTCTCGGAGCTGGGGAAAGGCTCAACTTTCCATTTCTATATCAAGACGCGGAGAACGCATCCGCCAAAATCAGAGGACTTGGGCTCCGCAAATAATGATATTCAGCTCATGATGAGTCAAGATGCTCTTCGAGAGGCATGCGGTGTTCAAATATCTCCTGTACAAGAGGTGGTTGAAGACAAAATGTCGAAGTTGGAAATAGGAGAAGTTGCGGCAGAACGCTCTCGCAAAGCCTCGACAAAACCGAATCCCAGCTACAACATCTTAGTAGTGGAAGACAATTTAGTGAACCAAAAGGTTGTCACGAAACAGCTGCGTAAGGCGGGACATACCGTGTCAGTGGCCAACCAAGGGGAAGAGGCTATGGAGTTCATTCAGCGCTCGGAATATTGGGCGCCCAGTAAGTCTTCTGGCGATGGCACAAGAGAAAAACTTGATGTCGTTCTGATGGATCTTGAAATGCCGATTTTGGATGGGTTGAGCTGCGTTAAACGTATTCGGCGGCTGCAAAGAAAAGGCCAAATTCTTAGGCACGTGCCCGTTATTGCGGTGACAGCAAATGCTCGCAAAGATCAAATCTTGGATTGTATCGAAGCTGGAATGGTGAGTTGATTTGCATCAAGGATTCTATTATGGTGTGGGGATTGACTAAATGTACGCAGGATGATGTGACAACGAAACCTTACCGCATGAAAGATATGCTTCAACAGATCGATGCTTTGATGGCGAAGGACTTTTCTTGCTAGAAATAGGAAGAATGGATTCATAGATCCGTAATGTAATAGGATAGAATGTTAGGTGAAACGAGACAAATGAGTTATGATGGTCGTTTAGGATTTCAAGATCTTGGCCGTTTTGTGTCTCTGAATTTGGAGCGTGGGAAATAGTCTAGATTCATTAGACGCATTATATTAACAGATTTGTACGAGTTGCAGATCTTGTACTTGAAAATTTGAAGCGTCCAAGTGCTACATCCCCAGGCAGCGTACAACGCCGTATTTTCGCAAATGAGTGGAGGAGCACCTCCAAATTTCGACTTCCATAAAAGGTTTTATAACGTGTCGAAAAGCCCATTTGACTATTTTACATGTCTCAGAACATTGTATTCGTGAGAAAAACAATTCGTGAGCAAAAGTTCTGAAGCCTCTAGCCCGCATCCCAGGCTATCCCCTCAGTTGACAGTAAGGATGAGCTTCCTCTGGCTGGAAGGAGGATCCTGGTCCCCGAAGCGCACATTTTCCTCAATTGAGTTTCCTCAAACTACTCAAGGGGTCCCTTTCCAATTCAACACGGATGAACACGACGGCGTATTCCAATGAGGGAAACCTTTCCCGCATCCCCTTACTTTTTATGTCGTCATGTTTTCGGTTTAACCGGCTGAGTACATCTCTACAAGCGAGAATAAGCCAGGGGGACGGTGGCAGTGAGAATTGTTGCTTGGGACGCAAGGCGGAACATTACCAACGAATATGATATCATCAAAAGATCCAGGTATCTCAAGTTCGGTTTCTAGTTCAGTAGAGAACATTTCAGATCCGTCTTCCTAGAAGGGAAATATCACATGTGCTATACCCAGGGACCCTTGAAATACCTTTAGTATTCTAGGTTGTCTTCCGGTGATCTGAAACCTTATATCTTACCAACAAAGAGGATGAAACCGATCCGAAAACTCAGGTTAACGTTACTTGATCAAATTAAAGTATTAGAGATGATTACGTGGGGGCAAAGCTACCTTTAGTAAATATAGGCTATCCTTTTTTACTTGTACCTAAGTGGTCTGGAGTTCTCCGATTGCCTAACCAGTGCTTTTTTTGGGTTTATAACGAGAGCACTACTCGTACAATCTAACCGTTCACCACGTCGATAACGGCTGACCAGCTCCTGTCTCGCTTAGCGCAAAGAGAAAATATATATCAGAAGATAAGAAGATAAAACGTCCTTATCGTCGCCCATGCCAAGAGCCTCGCCATAAGGATAACTTCGTTTACTTTTATCACTACGAGTAAGGAGCTTGCCCCGCCAGTAGCCCTGTATCGAGGTTTATCTGTAATATGGACGAATGTAAAGGTACCGGACAGCTCGCCTCCCCACCCCCTTAGGTACAAACGAGTTGTTATAGGTAGGGTATAACCCCACAATATAACATTATAAGCCAATTGGATTGCTCGATTTGTGTGGAGGTATATTCGAAATTGACAAGGGGTGACGACGCTTCACTGTAAATAAGAATGGGACCGTGACCAATGAGAACTAGAGGGGTCACGCGAGCAAGGATAAGCCTGGTGGAAGTGGAGCTCCCGAATTCTCACCGCCCAAAGACCAAACACCAACCACCGAAAAACAGCTCCACCATGCTCAGCGGGACTGGATCCTCTGAGCTTTGCGCAACCATCAAAAACTCGTCTTCATCCTCCCTCAATTGGCTTGTGAGGAGTTCCAACTCCGCATCTTCATTGCAACTCCGCCAACCCGCATGCCACCGCACGTCGCATCTATCGAGTTCTAGAAGTCAGAAAGTACGGAGTACGACGATTCGAGGACGAGTGGATTCTTCGCCTTCAAGATGGCATATCCGACACCGCCGCCCACTTCCTCTCCAAAGGAGGACACGCATCACGATTACCGCACGACCCAAGACTTCCGCAGCTATGATACGCCGCAGCAAACTCCTGCCCTGACCCGAATTCCAGCTCAAGAGGCCTACTACCATGCTGGTTCTGAGCCCAGCTCTCCCAGGCAATCCTACACAAAGCCATACCAAGCCCAAGGCAATGGAGGCAATGGCCCAGAGCAAAGACTCGTTCGCTCCAACACCGACTCGCCAAAGCATTTCTATGGGCCGCCACATGCTCAAAAGCTGAATGACCTTGGTGTCACTGGTCGAAACCAAAGACCAGTCGATGGTACATACACCATCCGGTCGGGCAGTCGATCCCCTCCTCTCCACCACGACAACTCTGACCACCCAACTCGTCCCAGCTCGGGCCAGCGAAGACGAACACCCCCTCCTCGACCACTATACTTCTCTCCAACCAATCGCCCTCCCTCCCCATACAATGTGTCTCGTCCCCAACCACGTCCCGGCTTTATGAAGCGGATGAAGGATAAGGTCTCATATTGGATGCGCAAATTGCTCGATTGGGCGAAACGTAACCCTATCAAAGCGGGACTGGCAAGCATTGTGCCACTCGTGCTGGGGGCCGGGATGATCAGAATTATCACGGAATTGAGTTCTGTGGCTAAGACACTGCTGAACAAATTGGAAATGGGCATGGGAGGTGGCCGACCAGGGCAGAAGAGGAAGCCTCCAGTCAAGGAGGGTTGGGATTGGGGTCTACAACATTTCGTTGGCTTTGGAGGAACCAAAGGTGGACCCTTGGATGGTATCATGAAGATTTTGCAGATGTTTATGTTAGTACCTTCTCCTTTTCATCACATTGAGAAATTTTTGATCATTCATAACACCATGCTAATACAAAAATAGGAACCACTACGCAAGACTTACACCCAGTGCGGTCCCTAGAGCGGCCTGCATCCTCCTCGAATTGTATTTTTTAGAGAAGGTCTACTGAAGGCAATGGGTCTCAATGTATAAAGGCGAGTGTTATTCATGATCAATTCCAGCGCTGGATGAACAGAACATACGAAACGAACGCAACGCATAAGCTTACGATATGATGAAAATGCATATGAAAACAACACATAGATTGAAAATGAGGGAATGAATTTAACGAATTGATGGTATTTTTGCATGGTTTCCTTTCGCATGGTGGATAGATGAACTTTTTAGGGCTACAAAAAATGAGAAGCATTACTCTATTCAAGTCCCGATGCACCGTCTATTTGATTTGATTTTGTCTTTGGCACTTGAGTTGGAATTGATGTACTCTGAATTTTGCTTCGTGTGTTCATACTCCTAAACATTGCCATTTTTTCCGTCTCATGTTGAGAACTTCTCTACATATGCGTTTCGTCTAAACGTTGTTTGTATGTTCATATTATTTCGAGGATAAAAAAATACATGGAGTAAATAAATAGGACCTCGGGTGATTTGTCATTCTTCTAGATGATTGGTGAGGTAGTAGTTGTGTCGCCTTGGTGGTTCCTTATTTGAGTGTCGCTAACGTCACTTCGTGAAATTACTTCTCTGTTCCTTTTCCTTCTCCATGAATCTGGCGAAACGATCTTAACAGAAGGTCCATCTCTCGGTTTTCAGGCGTCGATAGGTCTTGGAGGGAGAGAGCGTAAATTTCTAGCATTCAAAGAAAGTTAATAACTCACATCTTGGATCATGAACCTTCCCAATGCTGTGTACAATATTTGTAAACGCGACTACGTTTGCGATGCTAGCCGACCAAGATCTAAAGATGGCTCAGCACATAATTGAATTCTATTGATGCCATTCTTCACTAACATAGACCCAAGAATGAATTAACCCAGAATCACGACCCTCCGCCTTTTGGCATCCGCATCCGCAAAACTCATGATATCGGAAGAACAACCATAGCAAAGTCAAAGATTGCTCCACTGTAAGGAGAAGGAAGATACACAATGAGGGCTACACAAGTTCACTCCTGGCCTTGGGTTGTCTGACAGTCTGAGTGATCGGAATACATTGAAGAAAGTATGCGAGGGGGACTTGTGCCGCAAAAAGGGGTTCAAATTAGAGTTAACTAAGAAAGATAGTCAAAATCTTTGAATCGTAAAAGTTTGAGGGTAGAATAACAGCACAGACAACTTTGCAAATGTGAGACTGGTGATGTCAATCAGTTCGCCGGAGTTGACCTGCAAGCTTCTGCCACTGAAAGAAGTTCTTGCAAGCCGTGATAATCAACATACTTCTGGAATACCTCTATCTTAGTTTTGGAATCTTATTAGAACAATTTGGCTGGCACTTAGATCTGTGATATCTGTGCAATAAGGCTGTGTATTATTCAATCAATACTAATAATAAAAAAGCCCCCGGAACATGTGTAGTATTTACGTTCCCATCAACCCACATATAGCTTTTCCAAGCATACAACTATATTATCAATTTCCTTTTAGCCATCCTGTCGCATGGAAGAATTCAGCAACATCACGCTGACAGATGCTAAAAGGTTAAGCCAATCGTCTGCACCAAGAGCTAGGCCTTTCACGGGTCAAAAGAAAATTCGGCTAGTAAATGGTATGTGATATGAAGTAAATGTGGGTCAAGAGGTAGTTGTATTAAGTAGGTAGCTAGCCAGGGGTCCAGGCATCTTAAATACTCTCCTCGTAAGCTAGTCTTTATTAGGCGCCCTATTTCCATTTACTAGACTTGCACTTGACAACCCATCTCCCATATCGCTCCCAGGTTCCCAGCTCGCCAAAATGAAAGCAAGCTCAGATCCCATAGGCTGCTTGATGCCTTGGAACTTGAATCTCGGGTCAGCTTGCTCAAACAGTGCTTTCCAGTCATGAGCTTCTCGCTCCCGCGAATTTTGAATTGTCAGCATGGTTAAATCCAGCGCTCTGTCACAAATTAGCACTTTCACATCAAGTCATCATTGTACATACCTCAGCCTCCTCTCGGCCATCAGTGGGAGGGTACCAGGTTCTGGTAAGCAAGCATCGTTGATGACGATTCTTGCGTGTTGCTTCAGCGCTGGGATCAAATTGCGGAGCATACGGATACAATAAGTATCCGGCCAATTGTGGAAGACGCGACGGAAATAATACACTTCAGCATTCTTGACTGGCTGTTCGGTGAGGAAATCGTGCGACATGAAGGTTATCCGGTTGGCCAAATCTTCGGGTAGTGAAGGGCGACTGTCAATTGTGCTAGGGAGGTCTTGGACGACGAACTTTAGAGATTTGTATTTGGTAGCGAGAGCTATCATTGAACCTCCATGAGAACCTCCGAGATCGACTACAGTTCCTTCTTTCAAGGAACTCCACAGTTCATAATCGATAAGGTAGTGTGGTGCGAAGCCTGTGTCTGCGGCGAAGGCTGACATTCCTTGACCGAAACGGGCGGCTCGCTTAGGGTCCTTTCCCAGCTCTAAATACATGGAATCTTGAGTGTCATGGGCCTTGGAAAATCCCTGTTTCAAAGTCAGAATTGGGCCAGTAGGTGTACGGAATGAGATTTACAGTGTGATTGGGCTCCTGGGAGTTCGGCCATTTGATCATAGCCGGAACAGTCTAATTCAGTCAACAATGATCAATGTTGCAAAGACGACTTTCCTCACCTGAACGGCTGAGGGCCAGATATCGTCGGCCAGTGCACCCATCCATGCTTTCATTTTGCTGTTCTCCGCCAGCATCTGTGAAAATGCTGTATGAGCGACGATCCCCTTTCTGGGCTCGCGAAAAATATGATGAGCCATCGCATGTCGGAGAACTCTTCTCACGTCCGGCTCATTCAATCCGCAAACTTTGGAGACCTGGTCGAAAGTCGCCTCGCCTCCGACCGGAAATGTCTGTTCTATGTTGTAGCGATATATAGCGTGTAAGCTGACGAAATAATTTGGCTAAAGAAGAGAGGTTTGTTAACAGATCCTTTTCAAACTTTTCTAAAACTCAAACTTACTGGATTACTGAGCAGAAATTGTTTTGGGCCTTGGAGAAGCTCCTTGAGCTCGGTAGTAGCGTCAATGACGAGCTCCCGAGAAGCCTGAAGATCTTCTGGTAGGTCTAATTCCGGACAGCCAACATCGAAAGAGGGAGTGGGTTTATTGTGTGAAAGCAAATAGTCGTCTATCTTCTGTGTATGGGTGGAGACGATGGTGGTCAGCTCTCGAATTCTTGTATTGTTTGAAATCATGTCTAGAAACTAAGGTCGAAGTTTCGAAGTGTCTGTAGGTGAGTAGCGAGGAAGTCTTTTATACTTGTCCAAACGCGAGGCAGAGAAGAGAAGAAAGCTCTTGGAGAAAGATGGAATACCGCAAGATGGGAATGTGTCTGGAGTAAGGAGATCATGGTTCGACGAACGCCTTCTTTTTGTAGCCGCAAGAGAGTTCGTTGGCGACTCGGCCGATTGTCTTCTTCACTGCTTGTCAGCATTTTTGATTTCCCGCAAAGCCAACATGAACCAACTTATTTGCAAATTATGTGGGAGCTGAAAAAGTAGAATCTTTCCAATCAAACAGCTTCATTCACATCAGGCCATTACAACGAAAGTGTTTTTGCGGGAAAGTTCGGGGTCCTTGTGCTGTGATATTGCATTATTCAGCGTAAGATTACGGGTATATGCGTGTCGGATATCCGATTCACGTACGGGGTATTGGACGTCCGAATTTATTATGGTAAAGATAGAGTATTGACATGGCAAAAATGGAGGGAAAATACTATACCTTTGCGAGCATATACTCGTATCAGATTCTAGAACATCTATAGTAAAATCTTTCATAGAAACGTGAGAAGAATAAGGTTACTCTTAATCGGAATTTCCTGAAAGCATTAGAATAATATGTAATTCAATATTAATTAACCAAAAGAGCTGGTACATCGCCCCCCGGGAGTATAGTAAATCGACTCCCCCTCGCCTAATAAGCGGTCCGAACCAACGTTACTGTACCAACGTTCGGCAAATGGAATAAGTACGATTCCCTGGAATTCCCAAATTCAGTTCCATCTAGATTACTTCTAGAGCACTATTAAAATGAATCATTCCTTCCCTCGAAGAGGCATACAATTCTAAGAAGACGGCAATGACATACATGAACCACCTTTTCAACTTATAAGAGAGTAAACTATAACAGGAGTATAATAGATAGTAGCTAAATACGCGTATTTAGAAATATTTGTATATAGATCCCCACTTATAGAGTTATATGTATATCTTTTTATATAGTACAAAGTTTCAAATTTGGTAAGCTAAACGTAATCTAATTCACAAATATACCCCTCTGTCCTGATTAGCACGGTACTAAAAGCCTTCCCATGGTTTGGCCTCTAGTATCTTCGCCCCACTTTGATTCCGACAACTGTCCCGCGATCACCTGTCCAAGCCGTGTACGAAATGAGAAGAGAAGTTAGCAAACCCTTACTGCACACTAGTACTCAAAAGAGAAGCAATAAATCTCTGGTTCTAAAACTTGAAAATGGTGAAGAACCTCAACGCTTGTATTTGATTGATAGGATGTAGGCACCGTGATGTAAGGTACTGAGTTTATCACTGAAATTTATATCGTGTTCCACACAAAGTAGGACATTCGGAGCTAGCACAGGTTTTTAACTCGCTAAAGATGGTTAAGATATGTGACGTATATCGATAAAAGTCCTCGTAAGTGCTCCCAACATCTGGACAGAAGATTCTCACTGTTGGTTTCACTACGTGTGTGAAATGATACGGTATGAATTGTTAATTCATATTCGTATATCTCCCTTGAAGAGTGTGGCGTGCTAGCTAATCCTGTCCGGGTAGTGTTGTTGGATGTCTAAGATAGAGCCACGTGACCAACCCCCCTTGCGATGCCAGGACGGCGATATCGTGAATATCGCGATACTCTACCTATACAATATTCAAGTGCAGATAGTGTCGATGGCAATGGCGACCTTGGATGGATGAAGAATGTGAAGAGGGAATTGAGTGATATTGGGATTTGGGCCATGGCTATAAAGCTATAATGAGAATAAGTATTTAGTTACCAATGTACAATCTCGCTTCCCGTGTATCTAACCCCTTTCCACTACAATCGCATCCCCCAACCCAATCCAGCCCTTCAAAACCCACCTAAGCATAACTTCTTCACACAACACTACCAACCACCCACAAACCACCAATCATGCACTCAAACTCCCCACCAACCTCAAATCCCTACTACTAGCCCCAACCCAAACCCCAAAACTCCCCGTCGGCAAAACCCACCGTCCACGGGCAGTATCCCAAAAACTCAGATCCTTCCGTCTCAATCCAAACGTAACAACACGACTCTCTCCCGGCTCCAAACTCAGCTTCTGGAAGCCCCTCAATTGCCGGATAGGAGTCGCCGGCGCAGAGCTGGGCAGTCCAATATAAAGCTGCGCCACCTCGGCCCCAGACACCGTGCCGTTGTTCGTAATAGTTGCGGTAACGGTCGCCGCGATATCGTATAGATTCGCCAGTCCACCCGGCGCCTTGATGGTAGAGGGTGAGGAAGCGGAGATCCGCGAGGTGGTTAGGGCAGAGTATGAGAAAGTGGTGTAACTCAGTCCGAAACCGAATTCATAACGTGGAACGATACCGTTCCGGTCGAAATGGCGGTAGTCGATGAATAAACCCTCGCTGTAGTTGTCATCGCCTGCGGCGATGTCGGCGCCGTAGTCGGAAAATTGCTTTGCGATGGTGTAGGGCAGTTTGCCGGAGGGGGAGGTTGAGCCGTAGAGGATGTCTGCGAGGCCGTTGCCGCTTTCCTGGCCGGGGAGACCGGCCCAGACGATTGCGACGACGGAGGGGAGCGCCTCGATGGACTCGAGTGTTACGGGGCCGACGGAGTGGATTACTACGATCACCTTTTGCGAGACGGCTGCTACGGCTCTGACGAGGTCGTTGCCGTTGTGCCATGGGTCGAGGTTGAGTCGATCGCCTGATACTCCTTCGACCTGTGGGTTGTGAGAAGGAAATAGATAAAGGGGTTATGTGTGAGTAGACTTACGGTGGAAATGGCTTCTCCTGAATCAGAGGTGATGAATACTATCGCTGCTTCGGCAGATGCAGCTGCTCGTGCGCCATCTGCTGGTGTGTCGGTGGTAGAAGTAACAATCGTGGTACTGTCCATCACAGCCTGGGCTCTAATAGCATCAAGTGGTGCAATCAAGTACTAAACATTTAGCAATTACTTCGTTTTAGCTAGGCTTTAAGCATCCTTCTCACCGGAAAGTCAGCAGTTCCAGATCCCCAACCCTAGTCACAAGAATTAGCAATTATCGAATCAAAGAAGAAAGGAATCGAATACATACCATAGCTAAAGTCCCAGTATTACATCCCTTATACCTACAAGCATTCGCGCCACTTGGATTCACAATAGCATCCTGTCCGATGATCGCCAAACTCCTCGGACGTCTCAAAGGCAGAGCACCACCCACATTCTTCAGAAGTACGATTCCATCTCTAGCAATGGCTCGAGCAACATTCTTATGATCACCTTGAACATCTGGTCCGACCAGACCCCCATTTGAGCCCTGAGGCGCTGGGTAGCCTGTATCTTGACCTGTGAAGTACCATGCGGCAAGAATTCTGAGAACCATGTCGTCGAGGCGGGATTGCGGGACTTGACCACTGATAATCGTTAATTCGGAAAACAGAAAGGGGGGCAGAGGACGAACGATGAGATGGCACGTGTGAGTGCTGTACCCCAGAGTCTTCCATCTGGCATCGTCATATCCTAATCATCATTAGAAAAGCTCTCCAACATTTCAGAATCCTCTCACCAGGCCCCCATTAGCACTTCCAGCCGTAGTATGCTGCGCACCCCAATCTAAATTCTCGGTTAGCAAAGCAACCCCACCATGCCCCAAGCTTCACCTATCTCGACATACCACTAACAACAAACCCCTGGAAATCCAACTCGTCTTTCAGAAGTCCATTGAGCAAGTGACTATTTTCACATGCATACGTAGTGTTAACTCGATTATACGAACACATCACCGACGCCACATTTGCCTTGACGGCATCTGCGAACGGCCAGAGGTACAACTATTCCACCGATCAACAATCTGGTTTCTCCTCGCCGCAGAACTGGAGTTGGACTTACCTCATGGGTCGTTCGATCATCGATATTGGCGCTTTGAGACTGGCGGTTTCTTTCTTGCTCGTTGCCAACTAGGATTTATCAATAACCATCTCACAAACCGAGATATGAATCGACTCACTCAGATGTTTAGCATTCGCTTGTACGCCACCAGCTTGCATCCCATCAATAGTCTATTCCCAAATAAGCATAAGCACTAACCAACAGATCAGATTCATCGTACCTCAGCCATAGCAACACCAGACAAATACGGATCATTAGAAAAACCTTCCCAGTTTCTCCCTGCCTGCAATCATGTCAGTTTCCAACTCCCTCCAAACTCAAAGCAGTGATTCACTCCATACCGTAGGAATCTTCCCCAGCGGCCCACCCACAGGCCCAAGTAAAATATTGATACCAAGCCCCCTCGCTTCTTGACCTACGTACATGTCAACACCCATCTCAAGACAACATAGAAGGGGGAAGAAGAAAACCTACCCACCGCCAACCCCCTCGCATTCATAAGCTCAACATCCCACGTACTCCCCGTATGTATACCCGCCGGGAACGCCGTGATACCAGCGACACCTCTCACACTAACATCTGATCAGCAGCCACCCTTTCCTTGCCATGGACATGAGAGAAAAGACTCACCCCAAAGGCCCATCCTGTAAACAAAGGCTCCGGAATCCAATACTAGCAGCAGCCCCTGTGCTCCCCACGCAAGGAGCAGACCTCCCACTCCCACCGGTGACAATGGCTATTTTTTCAGTATTGGAAAGACGGGCTAGGGAGGCGTTGGCGCGAGTGTATGCTGATGCCCAGTCGCCGTCGCCGGGAGAGGCGAGGATGGTTTCGACTAGGAAAGCCAGTAAGGTGGGTGTCGGGAGTTTCATTGTGAGTGTAGAAGATGGGAAGGAGAGGAGGAGATAGAGAGGAGGGAGATAAACCAGAGTAGGAAGAGAAGAGAATGGGGGGAGAGGATATATATTAATGAGGGGGCAGAAAAAGATCAGTTCTCAATCAACTGATATCTCCATAACGAATATGCTGTGCCCCCTCAAATCAAGTTCACCTCACTCACATCGTCCGACTAACCCAGAAAGTTCCAAAGCCCAAGGTATACGCATATCTCCAAAGAAAAACATACGAGCATCACTGCGACTCTGCTCCCTTTCTCGGACCCTTTCGATCTTCAGTGACGATACATACGATATGCCAAGGTACCCAAGTATCCAATGAAGCCCCATTCGCCTTCTCACTACGACCGTATTTTTTTCCTCGTCGCTTTCAGCTTGGAAATGAAGGTACATACGGTATGGTGTGCCAAGTCGAGATATCAGCGCGGGACAACTGATGATGCCGCTTGTTCTCACTGGTACCATGTGAACTAATACAGTCATACGATGTAGCCTCTCGTTACCGTGAATCGAGATGGACGAGCCTCATTTGTATACCGGTACCCACGGACTTGGGATGTGTAAGCGTGTTGATCATGGCTTGACGTAATCTCACGTTTCTTCATGAGTAGATGGGTTCTCAAACTCGTGCCATAGGAGAAATAAAGAACATTTGAGTTGAATTTGGGTTCTATATTTGTGGAATAATCTTAGTGATCTCGTAAGTTCTCTAGGCGTAGATTGATTTCCATGACTCGGTTGTGAAAGGTTGACTATCGGTTTCGACACCTACATTCAAGTGAAAGTAAGCTTAAACCGTACAGGCTTCAGCCAACTTTGAACCTCCTTTTCGGTTACACGAGCCGTTCAGGAGGATATAGTCAACCAGTGGCTATGCAATTCTCCAAACGGCAAGGCTAATTGTTCGAGGACTCCTAACTCACAAGTGTTTGATACATGTACCCCACATAAAGCGACAAGACTTGAACCTGGATGCGACATAGCGGTACTGTACATGCAATTGACAATCGATATATCGAGCAAAATTCATGTCCAGCTAAACTCGACATCAATGCCCACCACTGCAACACTGTATCTCTACAGTACCATGCCCCATGCTGAGGCTCTTACCTAAGAACAACCCTCTAATGGACGCCGAAAGTTGAAGATTAACAGCAAGCGAAGACTTGGCAGCAAGGTGCACATAAAGAAATACGAGAATATCAACCAATGCCACGATCAGATGATTCTCAACGTACGGCACAGAAATAAGAAAAGCCACTACCAGATTGGCGGCTCAGAGAACGCCGAAGTCGCTGAGAAGTAACACGGCACAGCAGGCAAACAAATGACTACTAGAACGAGAGAAGGTCTGTAGTCGGTAGCTCGCCCGAATGCGCTGACATGCATAGGGAGAGGTTCTCAGAAATCGATACTTGTCGGACGACCAGATCCAAGGAGCTGACGCGAGATGCATCACTCACTGCAAAGGAAAATTCTAAACACCAAGAAATCAATATTAGATCACAGCCCGTTCCAATTCCAGGAGAAATGGACCATGAAAGAAATCAGGCAACGAGGACATGCGTAATTGGTTCGCAATGGCTTTTTTATTATTCCGAATCGACATCGTAAAGTACATCTGTGCGTATGACGTACTTGGCTGATGGTTTTTGGCCTTTTCTGACGCCCGTACCTTCGTGTAACAAACTGTCCTCCGTCTCCCCATGAGGGAACATTGCCACGCTTCCTTGAATGGGCTTGACAGGATATGCATTCATGACACCCTCTCTTGCGCTTGGTAAGAAGAATGTGGTTTCTCCAGCTTCGAACTCATCGTTTAGGTATATAAGGAATGTGAAGATAGATGATTGTTTGGCTTCTGGTGGGGAGGAATCATATATATACTTATCCTGGGGATCAACCGATGAAGGAGGCCATGCGCCATCTGTGAACCGATGAGTAATTTGCACAAGTATGAGATTGCTTGGTGATTCTTACCGATATGTGCTCGATACTCTGCCCCGGGTACGTATCTATAAACTCGGAACCGGCGATTCAATCCCCTGACACCTTTTCCACCTACGGTCTGAGGGACAAAGGATTGGACTCTGCTCCAAAGTTTGGAACAAAAGGTGTTATCGACAACCCAGTAGAAATTGTGGGCCAATATACTACTCTCCTCTCCTTCATCACGAATTGGCGCATCTGGCGTAAATCCTATGGCTTCAGCAGCCGCAATTATCTGTGTACATTCTTCAGGCATCAATACATCTTTCAGCAAGTGAAGATTTGGAACTATGGGGTGTTTGTGGTGAGTTGCGTCTGAGTGGGTAGATGAGAGGTTTATGGAGTCCTCTTTGGAAGTATATAATATGGCGGGGTGAAGATTTGCTGGCTTTCGTTGAAGACCAGGAGTTGTCTCGATAATTCGGAAATTCGAATTGGTATCTTTTGGGAGCGAAGATGATATGCTGCCATCCAGAACACTGGCGTAGGTGTCCCTTCTTATTGAGTCGCCTCTCAGATCCCATTCTGCCATTGGTGAGATGGGCCCAGTCACTTTTTCTCCCACATTGTAGTCTGTTGGTCCAGTAAGACGAAGAATGGAATCGAGCACGACTAAAAGAGTCTCTTCAGTCGATGTTCTTTTCGATATGCCGTCCAATTGTTCTGCCAACCCACTCACTACATCCAGATCTCGTACCCAGCGACACAGCGCCCCCAGTTTTGGTGTTTTGCCCCGAATTCGCATTTCAGCGAGGAGAATTCGTGCCTCCACATATCCGCCATCTGCCAATGCGCCACTGACTCGAGCCGTAAGATTCGTGTCTCCTGGTTATCATTAGCATTAAGCTCTTGACTTGACCATAGTTGTCCCACCTGCTGCGTTCGCATTGAAGCCGGTAGTGCAAGCCTGGCGAAATTCGTAGACGGCGGTTCTTAAATCTTTACATGCTTTTGACTTGATGACGTTGGGATTCTCGGATAAAGCGCGCAGCGTGTCAATTGCAAGTTCAATGTCATCCGGTTCCAGCCCTATAGCCTGAATGCTCTTGGGATCAACATCCGGGGTCGATTGTGATTGGTCCGGGGGAGGGGTGACAATGGCAGTCGTCTTGGGCTTTTTCGAAAGGGTGTCAAACTGCGGGCCTTGGTGCTTCCGCTTGCCTTTGGATTTGGCCATTGTGAGGGCTGTGAAATGGTGGTATGAAAGAAGGATAGAGGGAGGCGATCGCGATGTGAGGGCGGGGCAAAAAAGTCAGAGATGCGGTCATTACCCGGCTCAGAGCACACCTAGGTTAGGATAATATTATCCTACCTATACGACACCCGAAGGAAAATACTTAGGCAAGCAATTTTGGTATGATTGAGATCCCCATGCCTTTGTTAACATGGGTGATTTAGGATAATTAGATCAATTATTTCAAGAATTCTAACACAATTGCTTGAATGAAAATACTCCCGGGACTTACCCGCAAGGGTTGAGACCCCTGTCGTGACTCTTTTCGACTCATCCTTCGTCAAAGGTCGAAGGCAGGCGCAGCTCCTTCACCACATTGATAGCTGCATAGTCAGTGCATCACATCATTGGATTGAGTCAATCAGAGAGCAGCCGTCGCTGCCATTGTTTTACAAGCACAAGATCTCTTCGGGTACAAGTACTGCTTTTCTTTCCTTCCTTTTCCCCTCTTCCTTTCCACATTCCATCAAACAATCCCACTTCCTCTCTACTTCCCTTTAAACGAGTGAACAAAGCACATTCATCAACTTCTTATTCCCTTCTCTCTCTCTTCATCATGGTAGGAGCAACAACAGTAGGAGCATCATCAGGAGCACCATCAGGAGCCACCTCTAGCGCACCACTTTCAAGCCCAATCTTGGAGGCCGAGTACAATTGTGCGACATGCCTCGCCCATTTTGACAGTCGTGAAGCGCATAGGTCACACATGAAGGACGAGTGGCAGTAAGTAGCGAGTAGCGGCGGGAAATGGCATAAGAACTAACAATATAAGCGTCTACAATCTCAAACGCCGCATCGCTTCATTAACCCCAATCTCCTCCAAAATCTTTCACGAGCAAGTACTTCCCATTGAAGGCTCGTCGAATGATGAGAAGGAGGCGTCATTTCAGAAATCTTGCATTGCGTGCGAACAACATTACTCCAATCGCAAGGCATGGCGGGCACATCTCAAGTCACGCAGTCATATCCAGGCTTCTGCCAACCTCGACACAGAAACGAAGACCACGGAAGACAGTCCTTTCCTTGAGCAGCTTTCCCTAGAGGACCCCGGACCTGAAGCTTCAGATGAAGAGGAAGAATTCAATCCAAAGCAATGTTTGTTTTGCAAGAACGAGTCATCAGACATGGATTTGAACTTGAAGCACATGTCTCACGCGCATAGTTTCTTCGTCCCTGATGCAGAATACCTCATCCATATGGAATCGCTTCTGAGTTATCTCTTTACCATTATTTCCAGATTCAACGAGTGCCTTCTCTGTGGAAGTGTGAAGAGCACAAAATTCGCGGTTCAGGCTCACATGATCTCAAAAGGACATTGCAAATTTGATCTGGAGGATGACGAGAATCATTATGAACAATTTTATGATTTCGCCGGAGACTTCGATGCAGAAGAATCCACCAAAAACACAGTTCTCTTCCCAGACGAAGATGAACTCCGTTTGCCATCTGGAAAAATCCTCGGAAATCGAACAAGCGCTCGACCTCAACGTCCCCCAAAACGTGCTTCCTCCCCATCTTCAAAGCAAAAGGTTCTTCACGAGTCCGGATCCGAAGAAGCGACGGTAAAAGGATCAAAGGACCAAAGACTGGTGATGAGAGCTGGTACCTCTACGAGTCTGATCGGAATTCCTGAGGTCCAACAGAGAGCTCTAATGGCAGTAGCGGATAAGATGATGAAAACAGAGGCGAGAGCAAAGAACGAGTATCAGGCACGACTTGAAAGGGGAGGGAATAGACAGAAACGGTACAAGGTCGCCAGTATGGGGAAGAAGGCTGGTGGTTTGGAGAAGAGACTAGGTTGATAATTTTAGGTGACGAGGATACGAATGGGCGTGAGATTTACTAGATTCTCGGAATCAAACTCCATGCCTAGTTCGCCTTTCTCTGCTTTAATGTGATATTGTTTACCCCTATAATCTATATCTTGTTAACTGAGGTCCCTCTTATAATCATCCTTTTAAACTTTTCATCTCCCCTATATCCTAAGAGAAATACATATAACCTAACAAAACTGTGGCAACTAATATTTACTAAACTTCTTTAAATTATCTAAAACCACCTTAAAAACTGAAATATTGAAAATATTAAATCTACTTGTAATTCTCTATTTATATAACTTCTAGATCTTATTATCTCGCTCAAAGCTCTACGTTCCACTCAAAGGGTATCAAAGGCACTCTACTAGCACCGTATTACGTTCTACCCTCTAACATGATCTCTATTTATTCTTTCTCAAAAATTCAAGAAGCAAGATCTAATAGTCTAATCTAATCCCAAACCCCGCTCGCTTACACACCAACACCACCAACCCCTCCATTACTCTCTCCCCTTCCCTTCCCTTCCCCCTCTCCCTCCCCACCACCAACACCAACATCAACACCCCCCCTCTCCACCTCCTCAACATGCAAATGCGCCCCACCCCTCTCCAACAACCCCACCATCTCCCCATTCCCCATCCTTCTCGCCAAAAACAGCGCCGAGTTCCCCGCCCGATTCCTCGCATGCACACTCGCCCCCCTCTTCAACAGCTCCCTCATAACCCTCTTCTCAGGTCCCAGCGCCGCAACATGAAGAACCGAATTCCCCGCGTAGTCCTGAGCTTCCAAGAGGCCATACTGATCACCGTCCAACATTTCAGTGACAGCTTCGACGTCGCCTTTGGCGATGGCGTAGCCGAGGGCTGCGAAGGCGGTTTGGGGATCGCTGAGATGGGGTTTTTTGGAGGAGGGGTGCGAGAATTGCGCTGTGGATGATTCGGTGATTTCGCCGTGGAGGGAGAGTGGGATTTGTTGGATGATGTCTTCGTAGGTGATTTCGGGGAGGGCGAAGAGGAAGGAGAGTTTGGTGAGGGCGGCTTCGGTGGTGAGGTCGTGGCCGAAGACTACGCCTGCGTTTCCTAGTGCTGTGGCAGGGGCGTATAATGGGGTTACAGAGCCGGATTGGCATTGAGATACATTAACGATGACAATCCCTCTCGCGACAGCGTCCTTGAAAATCGCCGTTAATGACCCGTCCTCGCCACTGGGTGCATTTCCCGCTCCGAACGTCTCGAGGATGAGACCGCGGAGTCCTGGGACTCGTAGGACTCCAGCTATCATTTCGGGTTTTATGCCTGCGAAGATACGGAGACAGGCTACGTGGGCGGTGTCGAGACGGCGGAGGACGTCGAAGCGGGCGATGGATCGGGGGCGGCAGACGAGGTTCCAGTTTACTTCTGCGCCCATGGCGGTGATTGTTGCGAGGGGTTCGCAGTTGGGTGAGGCGAAGGCGTCGAAGGAGGAGGCGGAGACTTTGGTGGTGCGGTTTCCGCGGAAGAGACGGTGGTGGAAGAAGAGGCAGACTTCGGGGATCATGAATGTACCGGCGAGGATCAGGGAGCCGCTGTGGGTTGTTAGTTGATGTATTGTTTTTGTTGTGAGAATGGGAAGAAGGAAACGGTAGTAAGGATAAGACGTTGTTTCGGTCTGATTATCCAGACGCTCTGAATCAGTTCAAGGCATGTCGGGCATGATATATTTCGCTTAATCGTTTTGAGACTGTCAATATTTGACATAACCAAAGCAATTAATTCAAAACTTCGCACTTCTCACTACATGGGTTCTTTAATCTAGAACGATTGGAGTAACGATATGTACCGATACATCTCGCGTACCTGAAGGCAGTACTCCGTGAGACCAGCTTCCAAGCCTCGCAAGACTTTTCAACACCCCATGACAACAAACAAGCGAAAAGAAAAAAGGGGTAAACATACAGCAAATTCCCCTCGGCATCACTCTGCAACGCAAAAATCGAAGCCTGACTCCCCGTCAAAATAACCGGCTTACCAAGATGGCTGAGCATAAAAGATAGCGCAGAACTGGTATACGCCAAACTGTCGGTGCCATGGAGAACTACAAAGCCATCAAAGAGGGAGTAATTGTTTTGCACTGTGGTGGCGATTTGGGTCCATCCTTCCGAGGAGATGGAAGAGGAATCTAGCAGTTCGGGGAATTCGTAGAGGGTGTAGCGGATGTGGCGGGAGTAGGTGCTTGGTGGGGTGCGGAGACTTCTTAGGTATTTCTTGGTTGTTGCAGTGGTCATTACTGGGAGGGGTTCTGGGGGTTGTTAGTGTTGGAGTATGGAAGGTGAGTTTGGAGTTCTTTTTCTTTTTCTTTCTTCTTCATTTTTTGTGGCCGGTGATGCTGAAAAATGGGGAGAAAGATGGAAAGTGTTTTATAATAGATCGCATCTAGCGATACATAGTAAGGATAGGGGATAAGTATTTGATACTCGCCGCTCTCTTCGTTTTCCACGAGTAGCTTAAGCAATGCTTAATAACCACTTGAAAATTGACCAAAAAACCAAAACAAAACAAAAAACAATGCGCTCAATTGTTCTGAGCCTCTATAAAGATCACTTGTACAACTCCAGAAAAGCAGAATAACACAAGTTCGAATCCTTGGTTGTCACTTTTCTTGGCCAACGCGAGGGCTATCAGTACATAACAAGACTTCAAAAACCACCCCCAAACATCGTATCACCCACTTTCACTCGAAAGCTTCATTTGGCGAGATGAAAACCGAAATCGCGCCCTTCACTAAAATCAAGTACAAAAGGAAAAAGTCATCTCATACCAGGCATAGATCCATCGTTAAACGAAGGCCTCGGAGCCATCCCTTGATTCAAAAACCCTCTGACAGGAATCAACCCCTCTCCATCTGGCGAGGGCTTCATACATATCGTTCCCCCTGTCATAATGATCAGGACACGGCCCTCTGGTAATTGCGCTTGGGTGGCCATGGTTGCGTGTATCTTTGTGAGAGGGTTGGTACCACCACTCCGATATCGCTCTGATAATTCAGCCCTCCCAAATTTTTGGAAATTGTAGTTTTGACGCAATTTGGCGATGTGGTTGTTTGTAGCTGATGAGGTTGTCTATTTTAGTGGGGGTGGTGGTGTGGAATGAGGTTGAGCTTGCGATAAGAAAAGACGATGAGGGTGGTGTGGTGTGGTTATGATGTAGAGTCTCTTCTATTTCATCTGAAACGAAAGGGTCAGCGATAAGGATAGCGATCGCAACTCTGGAGAAAATAGAAAATCTGGGGTAGGAAAATTTTAGTCACTGGGGGGGGGAAGGAGCTTTTGATGCTGCTTTCGTTGGCCTTGTCGGCTTTTACCCACCTGGTGAAGGGATGGGGTAATTGTTACGTACAATTGAGATCAGATGCCACGAATCTCTTTTCTGTTGTTGTTGGATATATCCATAGAGACGAAAGCGTCATTTGGTCCGTACTTCAGAGATAGGTATAGGTATGCTTGAAGCTGTCTAGGGTTGGTAGTGGTGGAAAAGAGTGGCAGGAAGTATCCAACCACCGTCTTTGATGGTTCATTGTCATCATTTTATCTAGGTAGCTTGCTAGAATGTGTTCATAACACATTAGACCAGCCATGTTAGCTCTACAAGTTTGATGAATCCAAATGCTTGGATCCGCAACTACAAGAGTTTAGATACCAACGGAGCATTAATTAACGATGCACGAAAGTACTCCTGCAAGTATGAGTAGAGAGACTAGGAGAGTAAGCTAAGATCTGCCGCTGTTTATCCGGGGTTCCCAGTAAGGACGGGACAGTCCAACGTCTTTAGGCAAGATACATACCTAGTCGTTACTCTGCACACACTATACAAACTCTATTATACTAAACTTATAGTACAAAACAATTGTCTTAGGATACCTAGGCCAGTGACAAGTAAGAGTCAACAATTATTCTAAGCTCTTTGCAGAAGTATTTTAGTTATACGACGCTTTTGGAGTAATTTTATTCTAAGAGAAGTGTGTATAGACTAACGACCATGTATCTTACCATTGGCTTAGTTTTCACTGTTCTTGATCTCTCTTTTTTCTCATCATCATACATGAAGCATCAGTAAACTAGTTTTAGAAAAACAATATAAGTTCTTACTGTACAGCTCCACAATCCTGTCAGGCACGCCAAGATAGGCGAGAGTAGGTAGCAGTAGTTGCTGCCCGTGCGTTAAGAAAATGAAGGGAAGCTAATGGCCGATTTGATCCCTCATCCCTGCGCCAACTTTTTTATCGGATAAGCAAAACATAAGACCGACTTTAACCTTTCTAACTCTACAACCCAAACAACACACCACAAGCAAGAATCCATAGCAATCCCCAGCCATGGAAGAAGAACACCCCCGCAATACCCTCCTTGGCGACTTAGTGGAAAACGACGTGACCTACGAGGATTTGATGGTCGTTGAGCGTGACTTGTGGGACGCTGAGGTTGAAATGTGTATGTCCTCCCCACCATTCGCCGCGACACCGACACGATGCGCCGACAGAGACAGAGCCTCAACCACTTGAAATTAAATGCCTCTGACTCTGGAATTGCAATCCTATTATATTCAAGTCTCATCTGCAAAACAATTGCTAACGCGCTTCCTCCCAGTACGCCATCAAATAGTTGTCTACGAACATATCTATGCCCGCCGTGCAGCATTCGCCGATCGAATCAAAAACTTCTGGCCCCTTGTCTTTGAACAAGCACCCCCAGAGATTGACAGATACTTCACAATTGACGACCAAAAGATCCTTCTATACTCTCTCCTCTCCTTCTCCGTCCACAGATTCGAGTTCGACACCGCTGCCCCAAGTAAAGGAGATCCCCGATCACTCAGCTTTAGATTCACTTTCAAAGAGAATCAGTTTTTTGAGGAAACCGTTCTTGAAAAGAAATTCTGGAATCGGATGGGAAAGGATCATATATGTAGATTGGTCAGCGAGCCTGTCCGAATTACTTGGAAGGAGGGAGTCAATAAGGAGAAATTTGGAAATGATCTGACGTATGGGGTGTTGGATCTGGTTTGCGACGTCTTCGAAGCAGAGAAGAAAGCTACCAATGGTACGCCGAAGGCGACGAAGGAGTTGGCGCGTTTACAAAAGGAATTGAAAAAGGAGATTGAAAAGGGTCTCGGTGGACACTCATTTTTTGCTTGGTTTGGGTATGTTGGACCAAAGATCAGTGCTGAGGAGAGTGCGGCGAATACTGCGAAGTATGCGGAGAAGCGAAGGAAGGAAAAGGCTGGTGAGGTACCGACTGAAGAGGAGATTGAGGCGGCAGCGGAAGAGGACGAGGATTATGAGGACCATGACGAAAGTCGGGAGATCTTCCTTGGCGGTGGTGAGACACTTGCTACTCATCTTGCAGAGGAGCTGTGGCCAGATGCTCTCAAGTTTTTCGGTATGTTACCCCTCCTGCATAAACACCTCATGGTTTCTTCTATGAAAGCCACTCGCTGACACAAACCAGGACTTGCACTAGAAGAAACCACAAAATCCGACTCTGAATTTGAAAGTGACGATGACGATGACGATGGCGACGAGGATGTTGATGAGCAACCCGCAAAGATCCCAGGACCCGACGGTGAAGACGCCAAGATCGCAGAAGATGACAGCGACGATGAGAGACCAAAGAAGAAGCGTAAGAACTGAGTGCGACATGACACTGATTGGGATGGATATGACTCTTCGCATTCTAGTCTACTGCATATGGGATACATGAAGTGAAATGACAACAAAAATGGGCTGGCTAGATTTGCCTGGTGGATAAAAGCCTTTTGTACAATAGATAATAATTTAATGTGTTTTTCCCTTACTTTACTGGATTTGCGAAGGTGATTAGTAGATTAGAGAATGGAGGAATCTGAATTATCCATCTTCTCTTCTTGTGATGTGTGTCGGTTAGTGGGCATGAGGCTAGATCAATTGTCTATAGATATATAGTTGTTTATAAATAACCTTAGGAGGGAAGGAGGGGGTGGCCTTGGACTTTGAAGAATCTTACCTTTACACTTACACGAATTACCTAAGAAGTATAGACTATCCCCTTCTTATTCATCTACGAATTCTACGAACTCTGATACGTTCTGGTAAGTAATTAGCGTACTCTACTCTACTCTACTCTACTTTATTATGACAAGACTATCCACCATAACATGACAGCAAGACTCAATTTTCCCAGCTTCACCAACAACTGATCAACACATGCCCATGAGTTAGAATTAAATTGTATAGATCCACGTCCTGATCTCCTGGTGCAGTCGCTTGCTTTCCTCGAAAATAAAGCAAGATATCTTGAAGTGTGACATGGATTGGAGAAAGATAACCTAAGCGGGATTACGAGTTTTGTTGACAGTTCTTATGTTTGCGAATCGATTGGACAAGCTCTCTTCTTAGGGGTTTGGGAACGATGCTTTTCATATGGGGTTGTGGACTTTGACTGTATTGGACAATATCTCGGACTTTGTCATTCCATGATATAGCATCATCAATAAGGCCTGGCCAAATCTATGAACTGAGAATATGGGAATACAGACGCGCAGGCGCATTTTGAGTTGAGCGACATGGGTAGAAATGTATGTGGAGGCTGTATAGGGATGAAAAGCAATGTATATTGTCACCCGAGGCACTTCTTGACATGGCAAGAGTACTTCTACTTGGTTGCATAACGCTCGACGCAGAGGAATATATGTAAGTACGCTTGGAGTGTTTGGGAAAGACAATCTATATCCTGAATCCAGATTGATGCCTGCTGCTAGCTTACTTATTCTAGGAAGTACGATGAGATACTCGGAGGGCTGAAGGGATGGCTTTGATGTCATACCATTCTGGCATAGTATAGGAACTTTGAGATACTGTAGGTGTGGTGGGTATACTGTAAAGGGCAAGGTGTGATATAGTACTGTAAGCGAAGAAATTGCGACGAACTTCGATCTGTATGGCAGGAAGCTCGTTCACAAGATCAACATGACGACATTAAGATCATGATACACGTCGGTAGGTATTTAAATGTATACGTAGAATTCTCCTCTCGACCTAAACTAACCCGAAAGGACCTCCTACGTAACTATCATTCGTTCATAAACTCTATCCCTCTCCCACCTACGTATTAACACCCACCACCAACTCTCCCCCCCCCCTCTCTCTCATCCTCATCACTGACTAGTAAAGGTAAAGAGAAAAATAAGGACAACTACAAGTGGTATCATTCATGCATTCATCAGCTCCGAAAAGAAAAATATCCGAAATAAGAAGCCGGTAATGAGTCGCCGAATCACTCCTTCACCTCTGGGATAGTCTCCGCCCCTCGCTCAGCCTCATCGTCCACTCGCTTGCTTACGACGAGGTGGCCTGCGGGGAGCATGTTGAGGTGGTCTTCGGCGGTGTCGAGGTGTCGGTACATGAGCCAGAATAGGATGCCGCCGATGAATGAGATTACCTGTTACACATTAGTCCAACACACTCACAAATCCGAAGACATAGGGAGAGGAGGGGTATGAAGGGATGAAGGGAAAATGGTAAAAAGATGGAAAGGGGGGGCTTACAGCCATACTCCCATAATTCCAAACCAACAAAGGATCCTCACTCAACGTAACAAACGCCTCGCCAAGCGCAGCACTAATCGCATTCGAGAACAGCGCAATCGACATGACCATACTACGCATGTTAACAGGTGCTTTGGAGTACGCATACGAGAGACTCGTGATGGACGCGAAGATCTCCGAGATGGCGATGAGGATATAAGCCCCCGTTTGCGCCCACACGTTGATGCTAACTGGTGGACAGGATTCCTCGCCGTCGCCGCCGAGAGAGGCAGGTAGTGTGCCGGCTGCCATGTTGCCGCAGATGGAGTCTTTGTAGATGTAGGCTTGCACTACGGCGGCCCAGACCATGGATGCGGAGCCCAAGAAGAATCCTGCTGTGATTCCTGGGGTGGGTTAGTTATATTGTGATATCTAATTGTGAGGAAGAGGATGGGGATGGGGGAAGCGAGAGGAAGCGAGAGGAGGCGAGGGAGAAGAACATACTCTTGATAGGCGAAAAGTTGATCTTCCACTTTCGTAATGTGGGATAGAGCACCAAGTCGCAAATCGGAATCAAAATAACCAGCGCAAACGGATCCAAATTTGACAACACATCATTCGGCAATCCATTAAGCTTCATCACCGCAGCCTGACTAACGAGATTGTTATTCAGTTGGTTGTATGTTAGCCAATAAATTGGAAACCAACAGAATACAGAACAAGCGTGGAAACCTCTACGGACCTCGTCAACCCACTGGTCGTTGAAGGTCATCCAACGTGGGCGGAGAGAAGGATCAATACGAGATGGCTTAACGTCCTCCCAGAATGTACCGTCGTGGAGGCGCTTGTAGGTTGCTACTGGATTGAGTGACCAGCGACCTTTGTTTGCGTGGATGAAGAGTCTCATGGCTTTGCTCAAGACCGAGCCTGTTGCGGGGGTTCGCTTATATCGCTTCTTTCCCCAGATCAAAACCAGAGGACAGAGACAGAGCATAAGAGTAGGCAAGAGGAACGACAACCAGAAGCCGACGTATTTCTCACAGTACACCATAGCGATTTGTCCGAGGAGGGCACCGATGTTGATGAAGAGGTAGAAGTAGTTGTACGTTCTAGTTTGGGTAACGCCTGGGTCGACGATGACTCGTTCTCCGGATGGCAGGTCGCGGACGATCATCTTGGTCAAGGGAAGTTGTTCGGCAACCAAGGGTGAAATGTTGGGTTTGAAGGTTCCGGTTCCGACACCCATAATGATTAGTCCGACGATAAAGATTCCCATTGAGGCATTGGGTTTGACGATGACTGGGGGGATGGCGGAGATGATCAAGATTACATGACCTATGATGGCAATGGCAAGCTAGAGTATGTTAGCATTTTAATCGCAATTTTAGAAATGAAAGACAGAGAGAAGAGAAAAAGGCAATAACGTGTAAGCGAGAAAGAGTACGAGAGGTAGTGAGAATTAGTTACTTACAGCAATAGCTATAGTCTTATAACGTCCCCAGCGAGCATCTGCCATATAAGCACCAAAGAGAGGAATCAAATAAACCCAAAACTGGTTGAAGGTGGTAATTCCAGTTGAGGCCCGTTGTCCCTTATCGAGAGCTCCAGATTGACCATCGGTGAATCCTGCGCCAGTGTTGGATCCATCAGGTAAGGGTTGTTGGATGAAGTTGGTAACTATGAAAGTTAGAGAAGAGTAGAGGGGGAGGTAATTGAAGGAGGCAATTAGCTGTTTTATTCGTGTGTTGAAAGCGCTTGCGATATTGACAATCCGAGCTTCATGCGGCAAAGTCCAGATCGAAATCGCAAAGGTGAAGTATGCAGACTTGAGAGGAATATGAGATCAACTTACACACAACAGTGGTACCATAGTAAGAGAACCGCTCGCAGAGTTCAATGAAAGCTACGGTATAGATGGCGAAAGGAATCTTGTCCGCAACTCGTCGAAGGGTGTGAAATTCCTCCTCAGTGGGGTGATCGCCTTGAATATCATCGTCGTAATCGTCGTATCGATATACGCGACCAGCACCTTTTGGCTTCTCGCCAGGTACGGTGGAAGGGGGGATGACTTCGAGGGCCTCGGGATTAGTAGCCATATTCGCGATTTGTGTTCGCAAGCTGTGTTCGCAATCTGTGTCCGCAATTTATTTTCGCAATCGCTGGTGGTTTCGCCGAGCAGGTTGGAGTGTGTACGACGGAGGGGGGGTTGAAGTAAGGAGGAGGGCGACCGAGGGTCTTTATGTTGCTGCAACTTCAAGGTGCATGTGCGTGCTCAAGTGAGGCGATGCAAGTCCAAGCTATCTACAGTGCCATTCACCTCGAAATCCATTGAATGTAAATTCAAAAGCTCAAAGTCAATGACCAATCATAAGCGAGAATCAAAAGATAAACGGAATTTATAGGCAATTCACGGCTCTAATTGCTCTTTTCGCTCCGTGTCTTCCCTGCCTCTTATCTAGAGAATCGACTTCCGGTTCTTCGGAAAGAAAAACCCGAAAGTCATTGGTAGGCCATATCTTTGCCATCGATCTATCACAGATCGACATACTTTGGCATCTACCACCGCAAAGGAGATATTTTGGGACGACTAATGGGCAGATAACGCCCTTACATTAGCTTGCGTCTGAACCACTTGATTATTTCCAAGAACGAATTCCAATTGAAGAACCATACTCGTATAATGCAATATCTGTGTACCTTTCCGCTGATATGGCACTAGAAGGACCGAAGAAGATGTGTGTCTCAAGCGGGGTGGTTCGCCTTGCCTTCATTCGCCAAGGGATTTTGGATGTAATGGCGAGGCTTGAATGGACTACCCCTCATGTCACGGTCAATGCCCGTATTGCAATTACCCCTTGGCACTCGCAGCCAGAAAACATCATTGGATCATCCTCGCGGCTGCTAAATCAGCTTGCAGTCATGTGAGTTACATTCCATTCTGGCACAAGAATTCTGGGGACTATTTAAGAGTCCAACTGAGAAGGTCCTGTCAACGTGAGTGGTCTGATTACACAGGTGTAGCATCAGACCTGAGAGTCGCATCGTAACACCATCAACCCGCATACCTTCCATATCATGCCCCAGCATTGGCTGATATGGGGAAGTAGGGCAGGTATGGCGCCACTCATTGGGGACAAAAAACGTCGAACCAGCAATATGATCTTTGGAAACAGGTACTGAATTCCTGATACTGATTTTTCGAGCTTTCGCAAGCGGAAAATGGGTGAGAATTAAGGGAGATAAATGCAAGCAGACAATAGGCAAAAAGCAACCACTGGTGGGGAAAGGGCTGTTTCCGATACACAGCTAGAGGGCTGTCGGTAACACACTTTTGGGGTGCATCTCTTATGTTGAAGAGTTCTCAAGTATAATAGAATGACTGTACTTCACTATACCTTACTGCTGTACAGTGAAGTACAGGACTAACTCTGAACTCCAAGTCTCACTGCAGTCAGCCCTTCATGAGTACATCGATAGCTTGTACATTGGCTGAGCCTGGAGCCTCTGAATCTGCAGAGATGTCGTATACTGTACGCAAACGACCCGAAATCTGACATATCGGTATAGCTTCTCGGAACGAGGTGATTCCAAAGGAAAAGAAGTTCCGCACAAGATGGGCCGTGGTCTTCTTACTCCTTTATTGACTGCAGATAGGATCGTCGCGGCTGGAAGTATTCGCAAATCAAGGAAATAAACTCGAACGATCATCTTCACTGTTCCTTTCTCATCTTTTTTCTCTACCGATGCAGCCAGCGACTATTGTTGCACAGAGAACGCCTCCACCAAGGCCACCCTGACCAGAAAAGGAAGGTGATAGCAACGTCCTGGGCACGCGAGTCTCATTCTTCTTGAACAAACGACTGTTCGATGTTGGTCCGCCAGTGAAAATTCATATGGTGTGTCAGACTTGGAAGGCGAAATCTGGTGAGGCTGCGAGGTCGGAACAAACGCTCCAAAAAGAATTGTCCGGATGTTGACTTGAACTGGAAATAACGAGCTCCTAGTAGACTCTTAGTTATGAAAAGTCGCAGAGACTTCTTTACTGATAATTGGCCCGATTTGGATAAAAATTGGTTTATTATTCTAGTCATTTGGAGTAATCAAATTGAATTATCGAAAGCAAAGGAACAATCAAGGTAAGTGTTCTACTCATTTCAAATATTTTAATACTTAGAAATAACTTACGCTGATAGAAAGAGAAATAGACTCTCTGCCACTTTACTTGTCTCCTAAGGGGATAAGATCATGATCGCTAAGCTTGTCGGCGTCATGTGGAGGATCTGAGCTAACTGTTAAGAGAGATGTACAAGAGAGCCTAAATTATAAATGCGGCAATTTGCTTCAGTAGTTGTTATATAGAGCTTTTCTTGTAGGCTGGTGTTCACTTTCATCACATTATTTCGACATGTTTGTCATATAGTTGGTCCGCCTCTCTTGTTTTAGGGGTTCTGCTGACTACAACTAGCTTTTAGAATTATCGTCACTGTCACACTTGACTTGAATCCCAGAGTACTCGTTTCTCATCCTCCGTCGTGCGAGGAGATCCCAAAGAATTCCCGAAGGCATTCGTCACAGTCACAGCGGTATCCAAGAACTCAAAGCACTCGTCACGGTGATGTCCAGGAACCCAGAGCACCCCCTTCTTGTCTTCCATCATGTGCAAAGGGTTTATTGACCTGCATCCTGTCTGGAATCGTGCTCAGAGGTATCAAGTAGAGCCCCATTTATTCTCACCGAAATCTTTCTCCTGTGGGAAAATCCAGTATGACCAAAAGAACGATTCCCGCCGACCCACATGGTGTTTTTTTGAATGAGTAGGGGTAGTCTTGAGTCTCGCACAGAGACAGGCTTGGAGGCAGGCTGGTTAGATAGTTTAGGGTGTTCTTGGGATCACAAAAAAGTTCTTGGTTTGAGAGGAGGTGCTTGTTTTGTTTGAGAGGAGTTTTGGGATCATATGGCTGGATTGTTTGTTTTCACGGATCTAGAGGGTTTGGTGACTGAGACCCGGTGGATTGATGCTAAGAGCAGCGTGTTGAAGATTGTGTACATGACGGTGGTCTTGAAATTGGTTAGAGGTCAGGGTGATGGCTGGAATAGTTGGCAAATTTGGATTATGGTAAGGTCGGACACTTGGTGATAGCTTCCACACTTGGTGCAGAAAGTGGATGTAGTGCGAGCGGACAGAATCAGACCAAGGTGTATCCAATTTGACCTTAGGGCATGTTTGGCTCGTGCAATTTGGAGATTTACACTATATAAAAAGATTTGCATATATATGTTTTTAATTAAGATAAGATAAGTTATATATATATTTATTTAGATATATACGGTTATTTAGATAGCTGTAAAAGTTTTTTGTTAAATTAGTTATAAATCTATTATAAATCTAAATATAAAAGTTTTTAGATTTATACTACTAAAATAAGAATATAAAAGAATTAAAGCCTCTACTTTATACTTCTTTTACTTTTATATAAATCTCTATATAATTCTTTTAGTCCTATATACTACTATAGTACTAAAACCTAGTTAGATCTACCTAGCTCGCTTAGAACTACCTCGATAAATAACCCGAAATACTACCTTAATATACTATACTACGAGTCTAATCTACGTACTTTATTAAAGAGACGTTAATTACACGATAAAAAGAAGAGAATCGGCTATTTCGTCGCTATAATAGAAGTCTAGGCCTCGGCTAATTATTTCCTATAAAACTACGTTAAAACTCTATAATATACCTCGAAGCTTAGGAGGGACAAATAGATAGTAGAATTAATCGAAGGACACCTAAAACGTATAAGAGATAGTCTCTATATTACCTAGGAAGCCTTTAATATACTAGAAAATATCCTTATACAAAAGGGTAGACTCGTACCTACTTAACATATAATTATAAGGGAGTAGCTAGGTATATTTTTATATATAGTTATAAGTAACTTATCTATATATAAAATATCGGAACGCTTTTAAAGGTAATAAATCCTTACGTTCTAATTAGCTAATCGCTAACTTTCGTATGAGTACTAAGATAATCTATCGTATATATTATAAAATAATAGGTATATTACTATTAGACGAAGTTTATAAGTCGGTAATTACTTAATTAGATCTAACTCGAATACCTGTTAAGATATAAATAAACCTAAAGAATTATCCTTAGTTTAAAGACTATCTTAGAGTAATTAATAGTACTTATATTTTAGTAATACTATAATATAAGGAGAGGTTTAGTTTTCGAGATAGACTTAGTAATTTATCTTAAAACATACTTACTATTTATATATTTAATAACGTAGTCCACAAGCGGACACAAACTACAAAAAAACAACCTTTTTTCGAGATCAAATTTTTTGTTCTAAATCACTTGCTCTCACTTGCTTGTACTAAACAA